TACCGAGGGGAACGCCAGGTCTGTTGGATTGCTGCCCCTCCCTTAGCAACCCGTAAAGCTGCTATTATCATCATCAACCCATTCATGAAGAACCTACAACGAGGGGGAGGTAGTACAAAAAAAATCAACACCCCCCCATGCAATAAAGACTGATGCAATAAAGCCCCCTCCCCACCTCAGTCATCGCTGCCCCACATCTTTTGCAAAGCGGAAGAGAAAACGCATGGTCTTCCAAGACGCTGCCCAGCCCCTCCTGTAGTAGCAACCCGTGAAGCTGTTGTCTTCCCCCGTTCCATACAGATGCAAGCGAGCGGTGCTTCCAGAAAGCCCGCTCGCCAAATGCAATGATCGCGCGCGCGCGCACACACACACACCCCACCACTACCCCCTACATAGGCTCTCCTGAGACCTCGTCTTTAGCAACCCCAAACAAAGATTGCATTCAATCCACGCACGCCCCCCAACCCCCCAGGAATCGAGAGAAAGATCAACACATGCCCTTTTTGCAAATCTTGGGGGGGAACCAAATGCATGCTAAGAGGCCTCCTCTTGGCCACCCTTGAACATAGGAAGCTGCTATATACTGAGTCAGACCATTGGGTTTCTCAGTATTCTCTGCACTGACTGGCAGCAGCAGCAGTCACGGGCTTCAGGCACGGGTGCCTCCCGGCCTTGCTTGGGATGCTGCGGATTAAACGTGCGTGCAAAGCAGGTGTTCTACCGCTGAGCTGTAGCCCTTTCTCAGTAATGTATCACACACGTCCAAATTGAGGAACAGGCGGGAGCTGCTTTCCCTGATGGAAGGCGTATTTACAAATCGGGGTGGCACGGTTATGGTCTTGTGTGCTGCTTTCTTGGTAGCTTGGAAATGGGGGAGAGTTAGAAAATCACCTCCATATGGTGTGCTTTCCCAGTACAACGTCCTTGCTTCTGGTGGTCTCCATGCAAGTTTAGTGTGCTCAGCACCAGATTTAGGGTGCTGCCACAGAGTTTGTCCTCACAGGGCACCGAGCCAAGGAGGCGCAAAATTGACAGGATCCATAACTGAGAAGAAGGGTGGAACTGTGGGTTAAACCACAGAGCCTAGGGCTTGCCGATCAGAAGGTCAGCGGTTCGAATCCCCGCGACGGGGTGAGCTCCCGTTGCTCGGTCCTTTCTCCCGCCAACCTAGCAGTTTGAAAGACGTCAAAGTGCAAGTAGATAAATAGGTACCGCTCCGGCGGGAAGGTAAACAGTGTTTCCATGCGCTGCTCTGGTTTGCCAGAAGTGGCTTAGTCATGACCCGGAAACTGTATGCCGGCTCCCTCGGCCAATAAAGCGAGATGAGTGCCGCAACCCCAGAGTCGGCCGCGACTGGACCTAATGGGCAGGGGTCCCTTTACCTTACCTTTATAACTGAGAAGAGTCATTTGGGGTGCCCAATTCTAGCCTTGCATATTATGAAATGACCAAAGTCTGCCCTTGGCGTGGTCACCACCTGATTCCCCCCTCCCCTAGACAAGTTGTACCCCATCTTTCTTTCCAGGACCTCAAGGGTAGTGTACATTATTATTATCATCCTCGTTTTATTTATACCCTGCCACTCTAGGTGGTTTCCCCAGCCACTCTAGGTGGCTCCCAACAGAGTATTAAAAATACAATAAAACGTCAAACATTAAAAACCTCCCTTCAGATGTCTTCTAAAAGTCAAATAGTTGTTTATTTCCTTGACATCCGCTACCAAGAAGGCCCTCTGCCTGGTTGCCTGTAACTTCGCTTCTCGCAGTGAGGGAACCGGCAGAAGACCCTCAGAGGAGAACCTCGGTGCCTGGGCTGGACGATGGGGGTGGAGACGCTCCTTCAGGTGGTTCCTCCCCACCCCTTTATCCTCGCAACAATCCTATGAAGTAGGACTCAGCCAAGGCCACCCTCTAAGCTTAATGGCGCAGCTGGACTTTGAACCCAGGTCTTTGTGGGCCCAGCCCAACACTCCAGCAGTGAGACTACAGTACTCTCAGTGAGAGACTGTGCTTCCCATTTTTTGCAGATCTGTCTGAGAGTAAGACAAGGCAACTGCTCTTTCAGGATGGATAATAAACACTTCTTCCTTTGTTTTTCCTCAAGCCAGATTCAGATGAAAGGTATGTAAGGTTCAGGATTTGCTGACATGTCCATTCAGCTCTATGATGGTGGTGGTGGTGAGCTGGTATTATTTGGGCAAGGTTGCCTCCAACCAAGTTTGATTCATTCATTTCAATTAGTGTACTCTATGTTGGACTAACATCAGATACAACCCAGTGTTTGGCAGGGGTAAAACTAGGCTTTATTTCACCTGGGTCAAAGACCCAGTTTGGCAGCCCACCCACACATATTTGTGTACACACAGAGAGAGAGAGAGAGGCTGGGAGCCTCAATGGCAACCCCCTGAGGCAAAAAACAAAACGAAACAAAACAGCTAGCCCCCACTCCCATGCCTGCACATTTATCTCGCTCTCCAGTAGAAGCAGCAGTCAGAAAAGCCTGCAATGTCTCATGTAGAACAAACACCTTATAAAGGAAATACCTGCCAGTGTGGTGTAGTGGTTAAGAGCGGTAGTCTCGTAATCTGGGGAACCAGGTTCGCGTCTCCACTCCTCCACATGCAGCTGCTGGGTGACCTTGGGCCAGTCACACTTCTTTGAAGTCTCTCAGCCCCACTCACCTCACAGAGTGTTTGTTGTGGGGGAGGAAGGGAAAGGAGAATGTTAGCCGCTTTGAGACTCCTCAAAGGGAGTGAAAGGCGGGATATCAAATCCAAACTCTTCTTCTTCTTCTTCTTCTTCTTCTTCTTCTTCTTCCTCCCAGGATACCCCCAGTGTTCCTACAATACACCTGCAGCTCAGTGTTCTTCAACCATGTTGTTGGACTACAACTCCCATCAACCCCAGGCAGCTTACTCAATGGCCATGGGTGATGGAAGTTGTAATCCAACAGTTGGACTCCAACTGCAAGGTTGAAGAACGGTGTGTTGGGATTCAAATGAGCCAGGAGATGCCAACCTGGTGCCCTCTAGATGCTGTGGCCAGGGATGAAGGGAGACGTAGTCCAATAACAACTTCTAGTGGCCATCAAGTTGGCTACCCATGAAATTACATTAAGACATTGTTGCCCCCAACAACGCCCTGGTGTCTTCTTCAATGCACAACCCTAACCTTAACAAGCACAACCATGCACACACAATATGGGATGGTTTCCACAGCTTCACAGGGCAGTGGACATTTTAAAGAAGCGACAGTCTACGCAGCAAATTGTGGCCCTGGAGGATTTGAATTAAATTATCCTCTCTGACTGAAGCTTCATTAAGTAGAGGCTAAACCGCACTAGCTTTCCTTGCACTAATTTGAACTAGCTTCAGCATGTATTCAATACTCTATGGGGCAAATGTGAAGTCTCTTCAGGACCACAAAGTGTACTCATAGTCTAAATGCAATATTTAAAGCCGCTTTGTTTATTTGCAGATATACCCTGGGGTATTGCGCTAATCTTTCCTTATCAACATAGCTGCTGCAAACTGCAGGTAGAAATGCTCCGTTTGATCAACTGACACTCTATCCCCAGCTAATTCTTTTGATCCACTAAAGTAGCGTTACAGTCCAGCCCAGATCTCCTCAGACAGAAGCCCCATTGAATTCAGTGGGCCTTTTATCTGCAGCCTTAAGTTGCAATCCTAACCACACTTACCAACTAGAGCATCAAGCTGCTTCCAGTCGACTTGTTTATTAAGCATTCATCCTTTTTTTAAATTAAATAAATTAAAAACACACAAACATGTCTTTGAATAAATTAAGCATTAATCCTGATTCGTTCACACAAAGTTAGTGGGAAGGTCAGATGTTGATTACTCCCTGATGACGTGCTTTAGTGAGCATTGGTTTGCAGGAAAGCTAGATGACATGTCATCAAGCAATTTATTATCCCACGTTTTGCAATGCATTTCCACTCTCCTTATCACAAAACGTCCAGGTTTTTTGAGCAGGCTTGTTGCACTAGAGCGTCAAATCAACTATAATTGCACAGCCAGAATGTTCTGATATGTGACTGAATGCCGCCTCAATGACTGCGTACTACACAGTATACATTTAAAGCAGATGGTTTCCCTCCAAAGAATTATGGGAATGTAGTTAGGTGCTGGGGGCTCTGTGATGGGTAAACTACAGTTCCCATGATTATTTGTGGGAAGCCATGTGCTTTCCATGTATAGTAACACATGCTTTCATGTCAGCGTTAAGACTAGCTGCAGATATGCTGCAGAAAGGGAAAAACACTTTGCGCATGATCACAGACATGGGGTTACTCCTGATGACGTCATATTCAAGAGTAGACCCACCGAAATGAATGGACTTAATTTTTTGGGATGGGTTTTAACTGATAGGAGAGGATATATTGATTGCAATTTATCCTTCCAGGCACCCCTGTGTGTGGGTTGAAGAGAGTTTCAAAATCCCATCCTCGGCAGCAAAATTTAACGCATAGAAATAAGGCTGCATAGCCTTCTTCTGAGCAAGTCCAGCTACGAAGTAAGCGGGACAAGAAGGGGAAAGCCAGCTTAACAAAGAATCAGGCAACAACTTGTAAAGTAAGCTTAGAAATAAGATTTACTTTTATTATCAGGCATTGGTCCGCAACAATGGCAGCAGTAAAACCTATGCAGGCAAGATACTTCTATTTACAGTATAACTGCCTGAAGCTGGAGCAAGCAAAGGCATGTCTGCATTTAGCACTAGTCAAAGGGGTAGAGAGAGAAAGGAACAAGTTCTATATGCGCCTTCCTCTCCTGGAGAGGAGAGGAAATGACACCACACAAAAACCTCTCTACCAATTGTATTTCTATGGTCTTGAGTTTCTGGCTATCAGCAATACAGCTCTGTTGACTTAACCCCTTCTCATGCTAACTAGCAAGAATATGCATTTCTTAGGTTTGGCTGCTAATCTCGCACAAAGATAGGCAGGATTAATCATTGATTTCTATAAATTACATGGTGGGTATAATTTAGACTGGTACAATTCTTTGTCCTTTTTTGCCCCCGCCACCAAAGCAGGACTAGGAAGGCCCCCAAGAGCCCCCTCCTCAAGGACCCACAGAGACAGGAACGGCCATAGCTCAGTGGTAGAGTACCTACGTTTCATGCAGAAGGTCCCAGATTCAAAAGCCAGCATCTTCAGGTAGGGCTAGGATGGACTCCTGCCTGAAACCCTAGAGCAGGCTTCCTCAAACTCGGCCCTCCAGATGTTTTTGGCCTACAACTCCCATGATCCCTAGCTAGCAGGACCAGTGGACAGGGATGATGGGAATTGTAGTCTGAAAACATCTGGAGGGCTGAGTTTGAGGAAGCCTGGCCTAGAGAGCTGCTGCCAATCAGTGTAGGCAGTACTGAGATACATAGACCAATGGTCTGACTCAGTATAAGGAAGCTTCCTGTGTTCCTAACATAAATGCCTCCGAATATCTACAGAACGCTTTTCCCACTCGACTAAATAAGCAGAGCCTGCCTCCAGCAGGGCTTGCCAGGCACCAGGACCTGTATTGTAAGAGAAGGAAGAGTGGCCACCTGTAAAACAAGAAATAATATTGAATCACCCTCAGGGAGCCGTTTCAGGGTCTTTGTAGCTAAAAGGGCTGCAAAGCACTTGCATTGCAAATTAATTACCATTAATAAGCATTGTATGCTTGCAAAAGCACCCTAAATGGGATGTCAAGAATGCTGAAATGAAAGACAGTAATGAAGATGAAAAGCTAACCTTTCTTTTCAGGACAATTAATTGGATTTTTCTTTAGATCAATTTCAGAAGCGGGAGCAACCATTAAAGCCAAAAATTTGAAGCCTGCCCTCTAATGGCACTTCTAAGGCATTCTGACTAGTCAATAATGGTCCTCTTTGGTCTCATAAGACCAGCTGCTTTTGCTCTGCTCTGTTGCCACAAGTCTGTTGCTGTGGGGGGAAGGCAAATAGGTTATGAAATTTGTCTTTTCTTTATATATTTTTTTGAATGCAGAATATACAGTGCCTCAACCGTAGGTAGTTCTCTCCATGCTATTTTCTCACTGCTTTCAATGCAAATTTACCTGGGAGCAATAGAGAAGTTTCAACCTCTCCTGTTAGCCAATCACTGTAATGGGGATGAGTGACGTGTGACAGAGTGGGGGGTGGCGAGTCATAAAGTGGGCTGTGTGCCTTTGTGTGTGCACAATTAGCACGTGGGCTGAGTGTGATATGCATGTGTGAGAGCAAGTCTGGTGGCCGCAACCACAACTAGCATGTGGATTTCATGGAAATGGTTATATACCCATTTGAGATCCATTCTCGCTGCGATTCCAGCCACTCCGTCTCAAAAAGGATATTGCAGAGCTGGAAAAGTGGATGGAGCAAGTCCCCTATGAAGAAAAGTTACAACGTTTGGGGCTTTTTAGTTTACAAAAAATGACAAATAAGGGGTGGGGGGTCATAGAGGGGTATAAACTGATGCATAGTGACTGGAGATGCAAAAAGGTTGAGGGAACCTTCCTCCATATGTGGTGGACTTGTAAAAGGGTAAAAGAGTATTGTGAAATGATGCATAATGAATTGAAAAAAATTTTTTTAAGTACTTTCCCAAAAAACCCAGAGTCCTTTCTGTTGGGGATAATTGAGACTGAAATTCCCAGGTGTCAAAAAAGGTTATTTATGTATGCTACTACTGCAGCCCATGTTTTGTTAGCCCCAAAATGGAAAACGAGCAAAGTCCCAGCCAAAGAAGAGTAGCAACTTAAGTTGACAGAATATGCGCAGCTTGCAGACTTAACATATAGAATAAGAGAACAAAAAGAACATACGTTTAGAGAAGATTGGAATACGTTTATTGAATACAGTGGAACCTCGTGTTACGTACCATCCTCCTTACGAATGCTTTGGGTAACGAGCTCCGCTAACCCGGAAGTAAATGCCCCTTGTTGCAAACTTTGCCCCAGGATGTGAGCGGAAGTCGTGCGCTGGCAGCGGGAGGCCCCATTAGCTAAAGTGGTGCTTCAGGTTAAGAACGGTTTCAGATTAAGAACAGACCTCCAGAACGAATTAAGTTTGTAACTGGAGGTACCACTGTACATGAGAAAAAACTGTGCACAGCTGAAAACGCTGCCAGCATTAAGATAAATTCAGCAGTGTAAATAAGTTATGATGGATGTAATAATGGAATACTGAATGGTACAGTTTCTGTAAAATATGCGGGGATTTATGATATGTAAAATGAACCATGGAAAGAGAAGGGAAGTTGTTATTTTACGGATCTAAAAATGAGTACTTTAAATTGTAAAACAGAAAATGTAATAAAAATATTTTAAAAGTAAAAAAAAAAAAAAGATGCATAGTGTTGAGAAACTGTATAGACAGAAGTTTTTCTCCATCTCATACTAGAAGCTGGAGTCAACCAATAAAGCCGATTGGTGGGAGATTCAGGGCAGACAGAAGGAAGCCTTTCTTCGCACTAATACATGGCAATGTCTGCAACTTCAAAAGGGGATCAGAGAGATAAGTATATCAATGACTGCTAGTCCAGAGGCAGTATCCCCTGAATACTGAATTACTGGGAACTACAAGCAGGCTACGGCTATAATGCTCATTTCTGCTTGCTGGCTTCCCATAAGAACATGGTTGGCTCTTGCGAGATCAGGGACGTTGAACTAAACATGCCTTTGATGTGATCCACCAAGGCTCCTATTAGATTCATAATTCCTCTCTTCCAAATGGTGAGAAGCTCAGTGCAAGTGGTAGAAAAAAAGGAAATAAATCGCCAACAAACTGCAGATGTGATTTAAAAAACGGGATGAAAAAATTGTTACATACCAAACATAAATACATGTAATATATAACTTCATAGAGTCTAATAGCAATGAAAAACAATCAATATAGATCTACTTACAGTGGTGCCTTGGTTCTTGAACTTAATCCGTTCCGGGAGTCCGTTCAACTCCCGAAACCATTTAAAAACCAAGGTGCGGCTTCCAATTGGAAGCAAAAGCCGGGTTGGATGTTCAGCTTCTGAAAAACGTTCACAAACCAGAACACTCACTTCCGGGTTTGCGGCATTCGGGAGCTGATTCATTTGGGAGCCAAGCTGTTCAAGTACCAAGGTACCACTGTATATCTGAAGCAAAAGAACACACACACGAATAGCGTATACAGAAAGAACATCAACAATCAGAACAACTCACCAAGTACCACACAACAGGTAGAGGACATTTTGGAGAAGAGAACATTTGGAAACAAACAACCTGTTTGCAATCCTTTGTTGACCAATGTGCAGGTTGGGGTGAGACAGCCAGCAACCAGCACAAATCACAAAGTAGCATAATTTTTTTCTCCCCCACTCACCCAAAATACTCAACGGGTTTTTGAGCAAAAGTGGAAACTGTGTTATAAACTAGAGGTGGGAAATCTGTTATTGCTGAACTCCAACTTCTATCAACCCTGACTATTGGCCATGTTGGCTGAGGCTGATGGGAGCTGGAGTCCAACAACATCTGTTCTAATCAGTTCTCTCTTTTAGGCCTCCAACCCTCAGTGGCTGTGTGGGGTTTCCTTGCAGCAGCCAAGATTCTTCATTTTCCACTGTCCCCATGAGGTAGTATTTGCCACCCCCAAAGTCGTTGAGCTTTCAAAAGTCTGGATGTATGGCAGCGCTAAATAACCCCACTCTGTGCTTTTCGGTGAAACAATCTCCTTTCTTTTTCACTCAGCCCAGCTGAGGATCAGACACAATGCTGCGTCAACAGCAGGCATTCCAAACGCCAGGCCAGGCCGATTTCCCCAGATCATGCTTTGTTGAGCAATGTGGACGAGCTCCCAAAAAACCCTCTGCCCTCTCTGCATTCCAGCTGTAAAATAAAACAGAAAACAAAACAAAAACGCAACAGCGGCAAACCAGGGGAGCGAGATGTTTAGAGAAGACCTGTCCCTCTGCCATGGGAACCACGGCTGCCAGGGTATGGAAATATTTCTCTGCCCTTGCCCAGGAGGTGGGGATAAAAAGCTATCGCACAAGAGCCGCCATCCCAGAGAACTGTGGGGGCAGCAGTAGCGGCAGGCTGGGCTGTGGAATTAAACGCTCAAGGCACAAGTTTGTTATAATTAGCAAGCCCATGAGTTACACACGAGATGTTAGAATGAGAAAAGGCTCTTCCAGATGGCCTGTTTATTGAGCATTCATCCTGATTTCACTTGCAGAGTGTTTACACAGGGTGATTAGATGTTGGCTACTTAATTGTGATTGCTTTGTGAAGAGGTTATATGATGCTCACACCTGCACCTTACATTTAAAGCACTAAAGGTAAAGGACCCCTGAAAGTAAGTCCAGTTGCAGACGATTCTGGGGCTGCGGTGCTCATCTCGCTTTACAGGCCGAGGAAGCCGGCGTTTGTCCACAGACAGTTAATGGCCTTGGCTTCCTCCAAAAAATCCTGGGATCTACAATACATTAAAAGGGTGCTGGGAAGTGGCTCTGGGAGAGGTGAACTATAGTTCCCAGGATTCTTTGGGGGAAGTCATGTGCTTTAAACATATGGTGCATACGCAGCCACAACCCACGATATATTTTGGCAGGTTGTCCACATTTTGCACAATGGTCCCTGAGATCAAGGAGCTGGTTTTCGTCTGTGTTTGCATGACATTTTGAATCAAGAGTGGGGCTAAACCGTTTAAAACTGCACAGATATTTGGGTTGCTTAGACTTCATGAGGCTGCTTTCAAACAAATTGCACCGAAACCTTTAGCAGCAAACTGCACTATCAATAGACAGCAAAATAAGAATCACAATACGGAAGGTTATGACACTGAACAATAATTTTACTGGCCAAAGGAGAGGAAAAGGCGCTTGTGGGGATTTTCTGCTCCAGGAGCCAGAATAACTCAACCTGCCTTGGATGCCACTCTGCACTGACTGGGTGAGTATTCACTGCTCTGTTTCAGACAACAAATTGTTGTTGCTTTCTGGTCCTAAGCTGCTACCACATATCTTCCGCCGCCTCTGTATTTTCCCTCCCCAGCAACACACCTTCTCCTACCCATCCTGAGCCTCTGCCGTCCTTGCACAGTTGCACTGTTTTCCAACACTCTCCTGCCTTCTACACCACGGGTGTTGAAGATGTTCATTCACCTTCCTTTATAACTAAGTAGCTCTACCAGTGGAGGGCTCATAAATACTGGGTAGGCCCCAGACAAAGTGACCACATGATCCTAGGCTTTTGTATTCAGAAGTCAAGTCCCACTTTGTTAAACCGCACCCCCCCCCCAGTAAGTATGCAACGCATAGGACTGCAGCTTTCACCTCTGTATAAAGATGATTTGGTTTCAGAAAGGCACTGGAATTGCTAACGTACCTCTGCAACATATACAAAGTTGAATTTTTTTACACAGAGAGAAACTGGTTAACGCAGAAGTGTTTAGCGTAGAACATTTTTACATCCTTAGCTTGACTCTCGGATGAAGGCTCAGCCCTCAACTTGAGCTAATTCGTCCCTGATGGAATCTACACACATGTGAAAATGCTTTAAAAAAAATAAAAAAGTTTTGAAAAAGACATTCAATTTGGCAAAGCTCACTGTCGCCATCTCGTGTCACATTTGTGTATTGCACTTTACAACACACTTAAAACATTTTATTTGCAGCTGCATAGCTGAGTCCCCAGTCTCTCATACACACACTAGAGGCTGCTGCCGCTGCTCATCTACCCCACCTACCAACCAACCCCCCTGTCCCCCACACTGGACCAACTCCTCTTCCCTTCACACCTCACCCATCCCCTAGGCTCCCCCCTCACAACTTGCCCCAACCTCCTCCTCCTTCATAGCCCATCTCAACCCCCAACCATTTTTATTAGCAGGGGGAGGTGCTTCAGAGAGCGGCTTGCCAAACTTTGCTCTTTTCTCTTACTTTTGTTTTGTTTTTAATTTTGTTAAGTTGTTTGGAGTCTTCCTTTTGTGTCAAGTGAATCATGCATGGGGGTGAGGAATGGAATTAACAACGTGATGTCCTTTCATGCTCAGAACAGCTGCTTGGAGCAATTGTCTCTGCCTGCCGAATGATGGGACAAGCCCTCTAGAAGGAAAGAGAAGCAAGGAAAAGCTCGCATGCAGAAGGTCCCTGGTTCAGTGCCTGGGATCTCCAGGTACCGCTGGGAATATTCACTGCCTGAAATTCTGGAGAGCTGTTGCCAGTCAGTGTAGACAACGCTGAGTTAGATCTGAGTTAGGCTGCTTCTTACGTTCCTGAAGTGGGGCAGGGTGGGAAGGCTAGACAAGGAAGCCTTGGAGGATGTGGGGGGCTGCAGAGGAAGTCATGCAATGTTATAAGGCCGAATTTCAGATTGCCCTTGATCTAAGCCACCCCAGCTCTAGCCCTGCAGGACTTTTAAGTAAAGAGCATTTCTTGATAGGGACTTTGTAAGGATCAGTGTCCTGCCGGAGAACTGCAACAGGGAGGCTATTATGAGGTTGGCATGAAGCAGACGGAGCCTCTTTATTTGATCGGAGCCCAAAAGAATGCAGCTTTTTGTCTCCCAAGCCCAGGCAGCTTTCGGCCTCTCCAGGAAATGAGTGGAAGGGGGTGGGTGGGCAGGCAGGGAATGACAAGGGGGCTGCTGGTAGAAACTTTGCTCCGTTTTTAGATGCGAAGAGGAAGCTAGAAGTAAAAGGCACAAAGTAGTTTGATTAAATTTGCACATTAAATGTGGCCCTCAGATTTTATCCGTTTCAGAGGCAGTGTACCTCCAGTAGCAATTGCGGAGGGATAAACCTAGGGGGGGACGCAGGTGGCACTGTGAGTTAAACCACAGAGCCTAGGACTTGCCAATCAGAAGGTTGATGGTTTGAATCTCTGTGACGGGGTGAGTTCCCGTTGCTCGGTCCCTGCTCCTGCCCACCTAGCAGTTCAAAAGCATGTCAAAGTGCAAGTAGATAAATAGGTACCGCTCCGGCGGGAAGGTAAACGGCATTTCCATCCGCTGTGCTTGTGCACCAGAAGCGGCTTAGTCATGCTGGCCACATGACCCAGAAGCTGTACGCCGGCTCCCTCGGCCAATAAAGCGAGATGAGCGCCGCAACCCCAGAGTCGGCCACGACTGGACCTAATGGTCGGGGTCCCTTTACCTTTACCTTTAAACAGAGGGGAGGGCTGTTGACTAGGCCTGATTGTGGGCACAAAAGCGGGGAATCATGGTGACAGGATGTTAAGAGGATAGATCTGTGAATGCCATGTGGTCTGCTTTGTGCCTTCTAAGTTAGCCTGCTGTGCTCAGGTGTGACAGAGGATGTGATCCTGTTGCCAGCCTGGCCAGCTTCCATACGTGAAACACTGGAGCAAGGGGTCCTCATGTTCTGCAAACCAAACAGGAAATTGATTGGGCCAGTCCTTTTGTGGGCCTGGTAGTGAACACTGAGGAGGGACGGGGAAACATGTCCAATTTGGTTTCTCCCAGTCCCTTAGTTTCCCACATCAGTTGGTGTGGTTTTCCTTTAAGCCTTCAGAAAAATCCACTGGCATTTCAGCGCAAATTTCTCCTAATATACACGTTTGTATAATATTTGATACGCTTTTTAAACAAAACAGCTTCCCCTAATATAGTTCATAGTTATGCACACTTTACCCTGTTATATGCATTTTTGTACACATTACAGTGGTACCTCGGGTTACATACGCTTCAGGTTACATACGCTTCAGGTTACAGACTCAGCTAACCCAGAAATATTACCTCAGGTTAAGAACTTTGCTTCAGGATGAGAATAGAAATTGTGCTCTGGCAGCGCAGCGGCAACAGGAGGCCCCATTAGCTAAAGTGGTGCTTCAGGTTAAGAACAGTTTCAGGTTAAGTACAGACCTCCGGAACGAATTAAGTACTTAACCCGAGGTACCACTGTACTGGGCCGGAGAACTGCTTTGCAAAATCCATTTCAAAGGATGGCTGCATTTTGGTTTGTGTTATCATTTTGAAAACTTGGCTCGCCGTTAAATGAGAACTAAATCGGATTTTGACACACACACTCCTAGGGCTGAGACACATCTAAGATAGGGTTGCCATATTTCAAAAAGGTTTTGCCCAAAGTTGTTGAGGTGTTTGAGTTTGCAAAATCGCAAAGAAATTGGCCGTTTTTGAGCTATTCCTTAGGGAAATCGGCAAAACCGATACTTCCGACATGGGCTGCAATGGCAACCCTATCTAAGATGTCCTCAAGCCATCTTAGACCACAACTCCCATTATGCCTGCTGACTGGGCCTGCTCAAAGTTGCAGGCAGGAACTAGGAGAGCACCAGGTTCAGGAAGGCTGATTGTGGTTGCTACTGGATACATGACTCGATGGGCCCTCACTAGCTAAGCCAGCGCAGCTTTTCTTTTGTTCTTACTTCACTGCCTTAGAACACAGTCGATAACACAGTTGCTGACTTCTCCATATCCCTAGATGTATATTTATGGTGGTGGTGGGGGGGAACAAAGAGTTCCTTTGACTGTTCTGCCCACCAGACTGCATTTCCCGGGCCTGGAGTGGCCTTGGCCACCAATCTCATGATCTCCTTTGTTTGACCAGAGTCGGGGCAGGGATGCAAATAGATTTTTTAAATAACCCTTTTGGTGCCTGCTGAGCATTGCGAGTGTATGTTAGCCAGCGGACAGAGCTGAGTCAGGAAAGGAATGGAAAGAAGCAGGGACAAGGAAAGTCCCTGTTCCGCCGCTAAGCTTATGGGGAACAGGCCAAGGTGTCTTCTAAGGTGGGCTACTCCCTCAGGACCCTGCCCCATAGACAAGTGTCAAAATTAGGTTCAACTCCCTACATCCAGGCAGCTTCTGTATTTGAAATGCGGCTTCAAACGTTCTGCTCTCCAGTCACTTTTAAGTTGTCTTGAGTGAATAGTTTAAAACAAAACTTAAATAATGCAGAAAATGTAGATTTAACAGCACTAGGAACGCCCAGATATACTAACCAGCCAAGCCAAAAGCTTTTGCTGTTTTGTTTTTATCCTGTATTTAATTCTGTGAACCGCCGAGATCTTATGATGAAGGGCGGTTTATAAATCTAATAAATTATCGTATTTTTCGCTCTATAGGACGCACTTTTCCCCCTCCAAAAATGATGGGGAAATGTGTATGCGTGCTATAGAGCAAATGCAAGCTTTCGCTGAAGCCTGGAGAGTGAGAGGGGTCGGTGCGCACCGACCCCTCTCGCTCTCCGGGCTTCAGGAAGCTATCCGCAAGCCTTCAGAGTGCGGCAGGAGTGCCCGCCAGGCTCCGAAGGCTTGCGGATAGCAGCCTGCAGCCCGAAGCCCGGGGAGCGCAACGCTGCGCACCCCAAGCTTCGGGCAGCTATCCGCAAGCCTTCGGAGCCCGGTGGGAGTTCCCGCCAGGCTCAGAAGGCTTGCGGATAGCAGCAAGCTCCAGGAGCGAAGGCGAGGTTGCGCACAACCTCGCTCCCGCTCCCGGACCCGTTCTGGGAGCTAGGGTCAGGGGAAGCTCGGGCTTCCCCTGCCCCAGCCCCGTGGCTAAAAAGGAAGCCAAGACAGACCCAGATAGGGTGAAAAGTGGAATATGAATGTTTTAAAATAAAGTAACAAATTGAGGGCGGAAGGACACTTGTCCTTTACCTTAGCGAGCTAGCTACAAAAAATGGAGAGGATGAAAATTGCATTAGACTGTCAGAAACTACTGTACAAAGGGCAGAACTTGCATTCATCGCTTCACCAACTTTTGCCTCTGGCAGCGCCCACCACGAGAATTTGGTCCTTGATAGATTGTCCCGAAGAGAATGCAGCCTTCAGTCTGAAAAGGAAGGTCCCCCATTCCTGCATAAAAGAAGTCCGTGTTATTATCTCTCATATTGCAGATGGAGTGACTGAGGCAGAGAGAGAAAGAAGAGCTGACCTAAAGGAGTGGTTTCCACTTTGCAAAAATATAAAACAAAATTCAGAAAACCACAATAGCACTGTATCTAGGCTCAGAGGAAGAAGAAGAAAAGGAGAATAAGGATGGGTAATAGAATGGAGTGCCTTAAATAATTTAATTCTTCCTTCCCAGTCTCAGACTCTCACGCATAATAGGGGCTCACTGCGTTTTTGGGCATCTGACAGATGCTTGCATATGTACAGGCAGTCATGTGAGATCAAACAGGTAGTCTTTAATCTGTCAGTCGCATACAGGTTCAAAGGATGTTGATTCAGTACCAGGAGAAAAGGAGGAGGCTAACTGCAATTCGGCTGTTATAGAGAGTAACAAGAAGAAAAATAAAAGGGCCCACCAATCAATCTGGAACACAGGAAACTGCCTTGGTTTCAACAACTTTCAGGGTGTCCTGGTTTTTACTTTTTGAAATATGGCAACACTAATGAACATTCCATGCCCATCACACCAGCTTTGCCAATGTCACAGCGATTGTACCACTTCCACAAACATTATACAATATATCGCTGCAACTTGATTTTTTATTTTTTTTAGGATTTAAAGATGGGCACAGGAGAAAACATTTAAACAACTTTGCCAAGCTCCATTTCCCTTATTTTCTGAGTAGTGAGATGAGGCTGCTACTGCTTTTTTAAAAAATAAATAAAAACTAAATCCTGATTTAAGCTTCATCTAGCCCAAGATTGTACGAGCTGTCTGTCAGGGCAACCAACCTATTTGAAATGTGGTGGAATCATATGAGAGTTTTAAGCAGAGGATGAATAGCCACTCATGAAGGATGCTGTAGCCTCAGATTTCATGCATGGGTTTGGGGGGGGGGGGACAGTATTTGGACCAGACAACCTTTGAAGTCCCCTCAACGCTATGAGAGGTATTGTGCCTAATACATTTCATGATTGTTAGCATAACCAGGAGTCCCATCCTTGCAATGTCATACACTGGACACAAGGTGGCAAAACAGCACAAGAGAAATCTCCTCGTGACTGCATGGATTGCTTTACACATAGAATTGTAGAGTTGGAAGGGACCTCGAGGATCATCTAGTCCAACCCCCTGCAATGCTGGAATATGCAGCTGTCCCATACAGGGATCGAACCTGCAACCTTGGCTTTATCAGCACCACACTCTAACCAACTGAGCTAAGCAACTCCGCTGACATGCCTTCCTCCCCCCCCCTTAAAGAAGTTTTTATTAACAATTTCAACATAACAAATTATTGAAACATATCATATTCATTATTTTCCCCCTCAAACCCTCCCCCTGAGACTTCCCTAAGCTCCTCTCTGATTTCTCAGCACATATTATTCTCTGCATGTTATAAAATTATACATATCCTTACATTATCTACCTACCATGTTACCAACTAATAAATTTGTGTATGTTTATTCAAAACCTGCCAAGGAGTCCCATTCATTTTGTTGTCTTTTTAGATAAATTGTGAAAAGCTCCCACTCTTCGTTGAAGTCACAGTTGTCCTTGTTCCGCAATTTGTATATCAATTTAGCCAGCTCTGCGTAGCTCATCTATTTTTCTTCGGTGACGTGCCTTCCTAGTCCAGAGAAAACTATCTGTGTGATTGGACATGGCCACGTAAGAAAACTTCCATCTTTCTTTAAGCTTATTTACAGCTTGGGGGTGGGCTTTTAAAAACCACATACACAGAGATTGGGGGGCTTTGAAACTAGTTCTGGGTACTCAACAGGAAGTCTTCTTTCTTCTTTGGCGATTACTTGTAGCCGAGTAAGATCGTCTTCCATGAGCAGGGTCTTAACAGCGAGTCAGTGAGCGACTGTGGAGTCCAATTCTGGATCCACATGTCTGGATTCCACAGTGGGGTCATAGGTTTCTGGGCGGGAGTTGATCACGGTGAGGGTTTGCCAAACGTGCCTTCCTCTTAGCACGTTTCTCCCTTTCATCAGGAGTTCAATTGTCTTCAAAGTCCACAACACTTTTGGTAAAGGCTGTTCTCCAGTTGGAGCGCTCGCAGGCCAGTGTTTCCCAATTGTCAGTGTTTTTACATTTTTTAAAGATTTGCCTTGAGAGCGTCTTTATACTTCTTTAGAACTGATTGCGGAAACTATCGAGGCATCTCTTTATTAGCTGCGGCCAGCAAAATTCTGGCAAGGATCTTAGCAAACTCGTCAACAGTAAATAAGGAACTCTGGACTTTGCAGCACCTTTGTGTTCATCTGCACACTGAAGGATCAACTCACTGTAAATGGATTTCAGAGTCAGTTCCACCCTGCCACCAATTAGAGAGGGCTGTCAAAAAAACCTTTGCCTCATTTGCAAAGGTTTGATTTGCAGCAATCATCAAATGGAGCTTTTCAGGGCATGATTTTAGGAGAGCAAAATGCCAGTCCACAAGGACAGATGGCACATGCACAAAACCATCTCTCTCCAGTGGGTTTTGTGCTGCTAAAAAAATCCCTGCCATCATTTATTGTTTTGATACGTGCCCAGACGACTTTGCTCAATAGAAAAATATGAAAACGGTCAGACAAAAGAGTTAACAGGTGCTGGGCAAAGTGTGAACAGGTGGCTACAATTCTGGAAGCTGTTCTCAAAGCCAGGATTAAGCACCCCCAAAAATGTGGAGGGGGAAAAAACCAAAGACTTGAAGGCATAGTAGCAAGGTTTCCTTTCCATCTCCATGGTTGATTTAGTCTGGTCCTTATTTTCCCAGTTTGCACTTCCTTAACTATTGTGCAGAAAATTCACACTTCTCAACGTTTAAAAACAGTTCTTGGTTGGATAGAAACTAAGTGGTCTTTAGCCGAAATGTTATAAGGGAATATGAAAAAATGGTTTATTAATAGGTAAAAATCTAAAATTACAATATTTTATGATTAATGATTAGGATACATAAAGAGGGGAGGGATTTGTTGAACTAATAACTGAACTGGAATACAAAAAAGGGAGGTGTGAGGAGGTCCTGGAAATAAGCAAATGAAGGCTAAGCAATGGAAGGAATGAATTGTTTTTAACTATTTTTACTTTGTATTTTCTCTTTTTTCTTTTTCTTTTTGTTTTGTAATACTCTGAAAATCTTAATAAATATCTTACAAAATAAAAATAAAAACAGTTCTTGGCTCCAAAATAAACCAATTGATAAATATACCACCATGTCAAAATGAGTACTATAAGGCATCTTTTAAGATGCACACAAGAACTGGAGCAGGATAATGCCAACTATGTCATGGCACTGCTAATGAGTTGCGCCAGCTGTCAGTTAGCTACCAGGCAAAAGGCAAGGCGATAGGTTTTGGTGTGGGTATCAAGTGATCCAACAAGAATCATTTCAAAGCGTTGATTCTATTAGGGAACAGCAAGCTATCAATCTGCTTTGGAACACATTTTTAAAATAAAAGTCTGACTAGCTTTTCAGAAACCTTTAAACTGAATAACTTTCAACTGATTAATAATAATAATAATAATAGTAATAGTAATAAATATTATTATTAATAATAATTTATTTATACCCTGCCCATCTGGCTGAGTTTCCCCAGCCACTCTGGGCAGCTTCCAACAAAAATATTAAAATACAGTAGTCCATCAAACATTAAAAGCTTCCCTAAACAGGGCTGCCTTCAGATGTCTTCTAAAAGTCTGGTAGTTGTTTTTCTCTTTGACATCTGATAGGGCATTCCATAGGGCAGGCGCCGCTACCAAGAAGACCCTCTGCCTGGTTCCCTGTAACTTTGCTTCTCGCAGGGAGGGAACTGCCAGAAGGCCCTCGGAGCCAGACCTCAGTGTCTATGTCAGGGCTGAACGATGGGGGTGGAGACGCTCCTTCAGGTATACTTCATCAGTAGATAGTGGATCTTATAAGAGCCACTATCCTGTAATATTACATATGGTATGTACAGTTGTTTATGGTTTTTTATATTAATTTTGCTGTTAAAATGTGTGAGATTATTATATTGTATTTATTTGCATTACCTAGAGCCTCTTCTACTGCTGTAGCCTAGGATGGCGAAACAAGGCTAATATTCCGGAAATCCTTGTCTAACAACCCTTCATGTGGATTATTGGACTCTATAAACAGACAGGTAGAATAGACACTTATACATGCATGGACCTTATGCATGAACTGACTAGAGAATGAACTGATCCACTGGTCTTCTGCTGTTTTTGCTGAACTTTATGAGACTTCCGTTGAAATCTACAATTTGATACAATGAATAGTATTCCTTATTTAATCAAATGTGCAGCCAGTTACGTCTTGTGTGTTTATTGATTCCGGGTCATATGGTCAGCATGACTAAACTGCTTCTGGAGCAACTGAACACCGTGACGGAAACCAGAGCACACGGAAAAGCCGTGTACCTTCCCACCACAGCGGTACCTATTTATCTAATTGCACTGGCGTGCTTTCAAACTGCTAGGTTGGCAGGAGCTGGGACAGAGCAACGGGAGCTCACTTCCGACCAGCAAGCCCAAGAGGCTCAGTGGTTTAGACCACTTGATATGGAATGACCCATGTATAAAGCACGATGCAGCCCCAGGACCGGGATACCTGAAAGATTGCCTCATCTGTTATAAAGCCATTTAGTCACATGGTGTCAGGGAACTGCCATCAGTGCCGGAGGGAGAGAGCAAGATCCAGAGGGATTCCAGAGAGTGTCCCGGGATTGGGAGAGGCAGCCCATCTTCTGGGGAAGAGAATCAGCGTAGCACCAGTGGAGAAGGGGGGCAGATGGGGGAAGCGGCAAGGCGGTCCCATGACTCCTTGCCGGGGACCAGCAGGGAGAGTAGAGGTCCTCCACTGCCTACGCCCTCCTTGTGCAGAAGGCTTTCATGCAGAGAGAGTAGGAGGAGACTAGGCATCAAAGAGCTTCTTTGCTGGAAGAAGTTTAAGAAACGCCCACTGACGGATTCTGCCAGTGATTGAGACAGCCACGGGTGAATGGCTGTCCGGACCGAAAAGGTTCACTCAGGCAACCTAGCCAGGCTTACGCACGAGCAACCCCTAGAACCACTACACACAGTGCTCTGCAAGAGACGGCCTCCTGCAGGTGCCATCTTATCAGGAGGTCAGTTCATTAGGATATAGGAATCAGGCTTTTTGTGTTGCGGCACTTACCCTTTTGGTGTCTGCCTGGCACCCACTTGAAGACCACCTTCTTCCAACAAGCCTTAGAGAACTTACCTAGGACTCAGCTATACATCTGCAAATAAATCATTTCAAGTGTGTTGTAAATATACTAATGTGACACTAGATGGCGACAGTGAACTACGCCAAATTCAATGTATTTTTCAAAACTTTTTATTTTTTAAAAGCATTTTCAGATTTTATGTGTAGATTCCACCCCTATCTACATTGGAGTTTTTAGATTTTTAACTCTGATTTTTCTTACTACCTGAAGTGTTGGGCAATCAGCATCGTGGAAACAGCAGTTCAAAATACCTTTTTATTTTATTTTTCCAGGTTCATTCACCAGGTAGGGCTGGAAATGTCCTCTCTGATGCCCAGGCCATGCAGCCAATCCAGAGCTTTGACACACAAACTTTGCTTGAAAATGAGTCCTACACACTGATCTGTACTTTCTAAAAATAGTCACCAGGTTCCTGGATTTTTATTTTTAGGGTTTCCTTGGGGAGAAACTGCAGCTGCTTGGGCCTGCGAGACCTGATTCCCAGTGTTTGCTTTCAGCTATGTGAGGGCTGTTGCAGTCACTACACTGGAAACATACTCTGCATATGCTCAGAAGCAGTCTAGCTCCACGTATTTCATCCATTGCTTTGCCTAGAAGGGTACAGACTTCTGCCGCTAATACAATCGACATTTCAAATCTAGGCTTGCTCCCAAGTTGCATTAGCTTGAATACATCCCTTATTTATATCAGGAATTTTGGAGCAGAGGTAGGGAATATGATGCCAGCAATGGGTAGAGCCAAACCAGAAGTGGCTGAGTTTCTGCCAGAAGAGGACAGGACCTGGGCTAAGGGCATATTTCATCCATTTATTTTCACTTTATTCCCTTCTATTTAAATTATTTTTATTTCTTTATATTATTATTTCATTATAGACTACAGTTGTTGAATAATAATATTCAACAAGTTTACTCTCCCCTTTTCTTCTTTTGCTTTATAATTCATTTATCTTTAATAAATATTATTATTAATAATAATAACAATAATAATTACCTGCCCTACAACTTAAGGTCCCAGGGTGGGTTACACCACAAAAACCCGATACCAGGCAGAGGGCCTTCTCAGTAGGGGCACCCACCCTATGGAATGCCCTCCCATCAGATGTTAAGGAGATGAGTAGTTATATAACATTTAGGAAAAATCTGAAGGCAACCCTGTATAGGGAAGCTTTTTAAGGTTTAAGGTTTTACTATGTTTTTATATATGCTGGAAGCTACCCAGTCAGATGGACGGGCTACAAATAATAAATTATTATTATATCAAAAACTGTTTTAAACAACTTGAAATCACAAAAATATGGTGGGTTCTAAAAATAACACATTTTCTTAAAATAACACATTTTCAACAAACAAGGTAGCAAAATGTTCAGGAATGGCCAAGCCTCAGCTAACGTCACGAGCTTCTCATGTTTCCATTCCCCTTTTTCTTATGCTACGCATAATTCAAGAAAATCCCAACAAGATCAACACAAGATTATGCGTAAAACGAGATTGGACAGCTTTCAAAATAGATCACCACTGATAAGAGAAACTTCTGCCCTTTGCATGGCTAGAATATAGCTTAGAAATGCTTTTAAATAAAAATTAATATTAATGCTGGACTCTGTGCCCTGTGATTTTATGGTGTTGATTTTTAATATTGATTTTTTTTACGTTTGTATGTTGCACACGGCTTAAGAGAATATTTTGATAAGTGGCTTAGAAATGCTTTTTAAATAAATTGTGGGGGGGGGAATACTGTCCAAAAGGACAACTTTCACTTTACTTGCTCTGCACCCATTTTTGCTTCTTTCTGGTTCTGCCCCCCCCGGCATGTGGCCCCCAGAAGTTTCCTCATGAAGGAATGTGGCCCCTGAACTGAAAATGCTCCCATTTCTAGTGGCCTACCTTACTAGACTGTTGTAAGCATTTTGGAGAAAGTGAAGAACTTCCAAATACTTGAAAAATTAAGAGGGCAAGTTTGAACAATCCAAGTGAATTTTCCAACCCCTGCAAAATAAGACAAGAGCACATAAGGGACCATTTAAGTATTTTATTTCAAACCCCGCTCCCCACCCCCTGTCAAACAACCACCCATAGGCAGAAGGGGGGGACCCCAAAAAAACCAAAACAAAAAAAACCAACCCCACAATAGAAATGAGATACAAACAGGAGAGGCAAAGTTCTCTCCCATGGTTGACAAAATTTACCCAATAAAGGAAAGGGGGGAGGGAGGATTCCCCCACCCCAACTTTGGGGCAAAATTATTCAGTACATCCGTTTTCCAGACAGCACCTGCAGCAGTTACAAATGTATCCACATGAAAAACCAAAAACGTGCCTATTGATACAATATATACAGACAAGGCCATTCAAATCCCAGTCCTCAGAACAGTCTAACCCCTCCCAAAAGATGTCTTAAACACACCCAAAGTGCATTTATCTTCATATAAAAGCATCTCCCCCTCCCCGTCCCACACATTTAAGATTGGCCCGCAAGTCTGGTTGGTTTTTGTTTTTTTAAAAACATTTTGTATAGTTTCGAAAATAAATTACAGCAGCTATTTCAATAAATTAAACACACACACTCACACACACAGAGCGCAAACTTGGGAGTTTAGCAAAATAGCTAACAAAAAAAAAAACAAAAACCTTTTCAGTGCAGTCAGGTGGAATCTTACTGAATCAACGTTGCTGGAGGAATACGCAAGGTTTCAAGTTGTACACAAATGCTGGCTTTCCAGTGTTATTACAAAAGCATACACGTTCACTTTTGCATTTCCCACAAACCTTCTCTGATCAAGCGGGGTTTTTAGTAGGGCTTTTTAGTACCATTTTACCATGGGCAATGGAAAAACTACAAGAGGCATCCCCCGTTCTGCCCTGCCTTTTTGAACTGTCCCAGCAGCTCATAACACTAGTAATTTTACAAGCCTAGAGTAATTTTGCGGTCCCTTCAAAAGCGTTCGTTCTTGAAAGGATAGGTGGCTATCCAAACGAGCTCATGGGGCTGTTGCCAAGAAGTGAAATTGACAAGGCCAATTTCTGGGCTAATCCATTTCACCTCTCCGTAAGACTTGTGAAGAGCTTCTAGTTCCGTACAGCTTCCAATGCCGCAAGCTGATCGAGTGATCGATCCAGAATTACAGCCAGCCAAGAGAACTGATTTGAGTTATGCTGTCTCTTCCTGGGCTCGCAAAAGAATATGAGGATTGCCCAAGGTCCAGAAGGCCGCCCCTATACACACAACCTATATGGTGCACTCAACTTGCAGGCGCTAGGAAGTGCAGGTTAGAAGTTGCATGGGATGGAACTAGGTGAAGCAGCTGAGACTTCAAAGTTTGGAGGGGGCAGGAATCCACAGCTTTTGTGACACCATCAAGGTCAAAACTAAAGCCATATTTGCAAGAGGGAAAATCTCTACTATGGCGAAGTAGTTGATGGCAGCTGACACACAGCTTTTTTTTTGAGGGGGGCGTTTTTGTAATAATAATAATAATAAAGTTCAACAGTTTTGGTGTCTTCCTAAAAAAAAGCTCAACCCTGGCCTATTGACAGCTGGACTGTGAATGGTGTTTTGAAACCCACCACAGACTTGCGTAGTCTTGGGCAAATCTTTAATCACACCTCAGCTTCCTATCTGACAAATGGGAACAGCGATGTACCTTGCAAGCGGGTCAAGGAGGAACACAACAAAATGCACTTCTATCCAAACACACAGGCCCAAAAGACTTGTATCTAACTAGCCTTGGACTTTCTATGTTCATCTGAGTGCAGAAGGAAAAACTTGCACCACTGACCCAGGGCGAAGGTGGTCGCACGTGCATTATTTCCACAATGCAGAAATCTGTGAAACCCTAAAACTTGAAGAACCAAAGCATCATCTTTATTATTATTATTATTATTATTATTATTATTATTATTGAAGGCATCTAAACTTGGGTTGTTTGTGGGCCAGAGCAGCACTTATGCCACAGTAAAAAAAACCAACAAAAAAAAAAAACCAGGGGGAGACAGTAAGAGTGAGTAACATTTTGAATCCATTGCATTTTGGATGTACAGTCCCGTTTGACTTCCAAAATGTTATGAAACCAAAGCGCGGCTTCCGATTGGCTGCAGGAAGGTCCTGCAGCCAATCAGAAGCCGTGCTGGACATTCGGCTTCCAAAAACCGTTTGAAAACCGGAACACTCATTTCCGGGTTTGCAGCACTTGGGAGCTGATTTGTTCAGGAGCCAAGGCGTTTGAGATCCAAGGTACGAATGTACTGAGGACATACCAGGGATGGATGAATCCTGCCCTCTCCACCTGGCCCTCCAGACTCCCAAGTCTACAGCCTCTCACTAGACCAGCTTCACAGCCCAAGCATTGGACTGGATTGTGTGCTCTTGAAGCCTCTTGTTTGTCTGAATAGTGGGTAGAGAGGGGGAGCTTGAGTATGTGTAGAAAACCAGCCTAGTGCACAAAGCTAAAATTGACATTTTTTGTCTCTGGCCCGCCCCCCCGCCGGGATGTGGCCCTCACAGGGTTGCCCAGAAAGGAATGTGGTCCTCTGTTTAAGGTTCCCTCACCCAGAAGAAGAAGAAGAAGAAGAAGAAGAAGAAGAAGAGTTTGGATTTGATATCCCGCTTTATCACTACCCTGAGGAGTCTCAAAGCGGCTAACATTCTCCTTTCCCTTCCTCCCCCACAACAAACACTCTGTGAGGTGAGTGAGGCTGAGAGACTTCAGAGAAGTGTGACTAGCCCAAGGTCACCCAGCAGCTGCATGTGGAGGAGCAGAGACGCGAACCCGGTTCCCCAGATTACGAGTCTACCGCTCTTAACCACTATACCACACTGGCTCTCATCCCATGACTAACATCAAAAACCTATGGGCATAGTGTTCTTCCACACAGCCAAAGTAAGCACGGATTGATAAGCCTGCCACCCCCCACTCCAAATTCTAAATTTTATCAAGAGGCATCACTGACCAGAAGGGTGAGAAAAGTACCCACAGTGTACTTCCTAGTTCCACATGCTGGGAGGAAGAAGCTGTAAATTAACTTAAGTAAGGAATATAATGCAGACCTTATAGCAGCCTGCACCAACCTGGTGCCCCCCCCCGACACCCTGGACTACAAGTCCCATCAGCCCCAGCTATCGCTGATGGGAGCTGTAGTCTCAAACATGTGGATGGCATCAGGTTGTCCAAAGGCTGCCTCACACGGAGGCGATACACCAAGAAACTCCCAGGTCCAACCTGAACACAACAAATAAATAAAAATAAATATATTTTTTAAAAGGGGTGAATGATTCTAAGACAGAGAGCAAAGCCAAAAACACACTCCAGCTTGTTCCAGATGTAACAGTTTTTTCATCCCACGCATTCCCCTTCTGCTATTACAAAAGAATGGAAAAATGAGACGTTCCGTCAGAAACACACCAAAGCAACCATTCAGTCAGGAGCACAGACGACAGAAAGCTACAGTGCAGAATTCAATTCTCGCTGCCCGACACTCATCCACGACGACTCACACATTTCCCAAAAATAGAAAACTCATCAAAAGCAGCCCCAACAAGGGAAGAATTTAAACCAAATGGGTGGAGGAGGGGAAGAGAGATTTTAAAAAAGAGAGGTTCCTTTCACAGGAAAACCATTACAGCAGTGGACTAAGATGGACGCAACAGCGGCCAAGGGAAGCCACAGGACTCCCTGCAAGTTATTTACACGTGATTGGCCTTTGCTACTTTTAGCAGTCAGTCAGCAGAGTTCTAGAGGTGTTCCAAGTTCCACAAAATGGCGGGAGGCTCCGAGGAGATAGCAGGCTTCCGGCACTGGGTTACGGTTTGTGCGTGTTTGAACAGGATTTTAAGAAACGTTTCCACCCAGCACCATTGGAGGCGGCAGGTTTGTGAGACCTTTTGGTCTCTTCTTCTTCCTTGAACCAAATATTTTTCAAGGGGGTGGTGGGAAACAAGGCAGGGGGGTGCGGGGAGAGAGAGAGAGGAAAAAACTCTCCAAGTCCACCAAAGATCAGGAAGTGTGCCATTTTAATTGAGGAGAGCAGATACGATGAGCTGGGAAACCACGAAAACTTTAGACAGCCTACAATGCAGCCCCAGGCCTTTGCATTATTCACTAGAGAGGCAGCGACAGCATTCTTTTGCAGACAGGAGCAGAATCTTCAATCTCCTTTTGGTAGTTGAAACTTAATTCCAGCACCTTTTTAAAGTCCTCCTTTGCAGCAACGCACACACACAAGCTCTACGAGCACATTAGAACAAAATGGATTGTCTTTCCAGTGCATCATTCTATATCCAAATGCAAACGCAGAAGGGCCATCTGGTTCATTTATGTTCATTCCTGGCATGGAAAGTGTTCAGTAGTTGCACGTCAGCAAGCCTTCTTTTCCCCCAGCGTTGCATTATTTGCTGCCACAAATAATGGCACAACTCCAAAAGCAACATGGCCACATGTATTGCAGCAGAGGGCGAGGTCCTTCTTCTCACCTCTCCCCAGTGTTATCAGGAACAAGTCAAGGGGAAGAGTTCCAGGAACTTATAGCTTTCCCATCTCTTATCGCAGGGCACACCCAACACCTTCATTGGCTCATGTCTACACAAAGTTGTCTCGGCTGCTGTAGGAACCGTGTGTTGCAAGACAACAGACCTCCAGGGAAGGGGCACCGGTTCCACCGCTCAATGCATCTTCAGTTCCCTTAGATCGCAAACGTGCAAAGATGGGCGACAGAGAGCCTTCTTTGGGGGCAGAGCAAACATGGATGCCCAGGCAGTCAATCAAGAGCCACTTGAAGAGCAAAGCAGGAGAACGAGATCCAAGGGCGTGTGTTTGTTTTGGGAGCTCCAGCACAAGAAGTTGCGAGGAACTAAATTTTGGAGCCCACCTCAAAACGCACCAAGTATGAATGGAAAGAAGAGAGGTCCGCTTTCCTTAGAAGCCCCTGGGTTTTTGTTTTTAACAGAGGCGATCTTTCATGGTTCAGCTTTTAGAAGACAATCTACTAGCCATCCTCTAGTTCTTCTTAAGAATATTCCAAAGTCTCAATGACTATGAAACCTCAGTTTGCTATATCCAGTGTGTAGCGTGTAGACTTCCGGAAGTGGAGGCTGGAGCCTAGGTAAAACTCTTTTTTCACAGAATATGGAGCAAGCTTTACAACATAATAGTAACAACAATAATAAATTAAGGTATCACAGCTTAAAAAAAAATCACCAAGAAATTATGTCAAGTACCTTTAGCTGGACATGGAAAGAGGATTTATCAAACCCACACAGAAAATGCACCTTTCGGATGTCAAAATCATTTCTGAACAGATGTGAGCTGGTTTGCTATGGTAAATAATTTTTTAAAAAATCCCACTCCTTGCTGGGGTGAACCATTAAGACAACAGACAATATTTCTCTGTATTTAGCAAGTTTCCCACTAGGGCTAGAAGATGAGAATATCCGTCTTCCTTGGACGGGAAACCATGGAAAGCTCACTCCAGACTTTCGTTCTCTCCTTCCCACTCACACAGCGGAGCCTGGGGCTAAGGTGCTTCGAAGATTTCCCTTCCGCACATTAAGAAGATTCAAGGAGGCATTTCCTTTGGGCCAAGTCTGACTTATCCAGCAGGTCATCTTCGGAGTGACAGGTTGAGATGGGCAGCTCCGAGACTGGCTTCAGGTGCCCAGGTTTGCATCTTACTTCCACCTGATATAAGGAAATAAACCACAACAGCTTGGAGCTCCCATGTTAATAGCGGCGGGAGGGAAAAGGGAAAAGGCAGAGACAGACAGCTAACAGCACTTGCAGTGGGGGGAAAAGCTTCACAATGCTATTCGCACCCCATTCTCATCTGAAGGAAGGCAACAGCGTTCTGGCCCAGCCGGCCAGGCCCAGCAACACCCCTTAAAATGCCATGGCGATTTTCCATTGTTTGAACAGGCTGATTGCTCCTCCATCCCAGCCTTCCTTATGGAGCAGGAAGCCACAGCTCAGCTCATCATTCGCTGCCCTCCCCAACCCCTCACTCTGCTCCCCTCTGCCTTTGGCCTTACATCTCCAACACAACCGCTTGATACAGCTGGGTATACCTTGGGCTCAGGCCCTGCTTGCAAAAGCAGCTTTCTCCCACAAGTACAATTTGACAGGGAAACACAGGGGTTGGTTTGTTTTCTTGGCTCGCTAAGTCTCAAGAGTCTGCTGCACCTTCAACCCCAGCCCCCAAAGCCCACAAATGCCAGACAGGTCAACAAAATGTAAAAACCGGCTCACTATTTCCCATGCTGGAAGAAAGGGGAGGGAGGGGGAGGGAAGCACCAAAAAATATAAATTTAAGAAGAAAAATATCATGACATTCTCCATGTTTCCAGGAGCTTGTAGTCCAGTTTTCGGCAGATTCCAAAATATCGTTATGGAACCAGATGGGGTCATGGCTCCTGTTTCTCTGCGCACAGCTGTGCTTTCTTTTCAAGCCCTGGGTCCTCTCTGGAGGCCAAGAAACAGCCAGAAAGCAAGCGCCGGGAGTCGTCTCCAAAGCGGCTTCCACAGCGACAGGATACTGGTGACCGAATTCCTAATTTGGGATGGGTGAAGAAAGACAGAGGGAACAACATTTAAGTTCAGACCACTAGACAGAGCCAAATGGCATCAGATCCTTCCTTTTGCAAATCCCAAAAACAAAAAGACCAAAGGGCTGGGGGCTGCATATACTTTGCGCTTCTGTGACCAGAACAGAACTTCGCATTGGTACAAGTGTGGAATCCCAAAGGATTCTATTGCTTTAAAAATGAAGTTTCCAGCTTTTATATTTGTGAAGAAGAGCTTGTAAGCATGACGCCTGCATGACACTGATTAAGGCTTCAGACTTGTGTGGATTTCCTTCCTTACAGCTTTTTAAAGTAGCCTTGGACCGAACAGCCCTTCAAAAACAGAGGGCTGTCCTCTGTGAAGTCCAACCTGGGCAAAAGGCGGCTGTAAGACCGTGAAGCCTAGAGCCTAAAAATTACCTAACTGTGTCAGTGGTGTCAAAATAACCACCAGGAAAAGATGATAAAGGCAACAGAACCAGAAGACAAAACCACTAAGAGGAAAAACTAACTGAAAAAAATACCCCATGAAACAAGTTTTTCTAACGTCTGGCAATAATGCCAGAAGTTTCCAAGGACAATATTTCCCAGTATGAGTGCCCTATCCTCCAAGTATCCTTCCATCCCTCAAGACCCCTTTGTTCCATTGGCAAAAGCGATCGATACAGCCAGAGTCCCAAACCACCAGGGGCCCATCGAGTCCCAGACTCCAAGCCTTCATTTCTTTTTAAAGGAAGACCCTTGTTGTACCACAACTCCCATCATCCATGACCACTGGTCCTGCTAGCTAGGGATGATGGGAGTTGTAGTCTAACAACAGCAAAGTTTGAGAAATACTGCGTGGTGTGGCCTATGGATGAGAAATAAGATATTGCAGGGGCTCCAGCTCCCCTCATCCTCAGCCAGCACAGCCAATAGGCCAGGGATGCTGGGAGTTGGCAGGCCTGCAGCGTCTGAACGGCCACGGGTTCCTCATTGTAGAACTGTCAAGTTGGAAGGGACCCCATAGTCATCTAGGAAGGAGTTGCAGATGAAGAATCCCTGCTCCAACCCTTGTATATACAATATTTTTTTACGTTACCATTGGTGACAGCAGCACGGCGGGAGGGGGGCCCTCGCTACGTTGAAGACTCTGCCTCTTGCTTCTGTTTGGAAACAAGCTGAGCTTCCTTCAGGGAGAGATACACCTCCTCCTGGGGGTCGTAGTAGTAGAATTTGCGGATGTACGAGATCAGAGGCCTACGGGAACAGAGAGCCAAGGGACACTCAGGAGATCTTGCGGGTTGTGGAGTGGAAGTGAATCACCTCCCTCTTACTTAAAAATAAAGACTCGAAAATGGCTGCAAATCAATATTGGGGTTATCTCTGCAAGCACAACATCAATCTTCAACGGGGAGGAGTTTGGAACCCACTGACTGGGGCTACCCTATGCACCCTCGCTCCAAGAGGATTATCACGATGACGGAAAAAAGAGGGAAGGCACAGTAAGATAGAGTCTGAGGAATCTTCTTCAGGCCAAGGGCTGCATGGCCTCAAAAATAAAGCTGCCAGGGGCCACATTTCAGTGGGGCAGGGCAGGACTACAGGCAAAAGTGAGCAGAGCGATGGGTGCAACTCTTCCCTTTCTAGGCAATGTTTCAACTGCAGGAGAGTCAGAGGGTTCCAAGCACAAATACCCTCTCCTCTTCATCATCCAGGCAAGCAGAGGATATTATTCAGGGGACACATTCCAGCTAGGAATAGGGGATGGAGGAGGGTTGGGGTGACCTGGGAAGAACCCCAGAGAGGGCAGAAGGGCCAGATTTGACTCCTGCGCCCAAGGTTCCCCACCATTGCTCTAAGAGAAGGACCGACCCATACAGGAAGAGACTTTAAAACTGTTTTCCACTGCAGATGAGCCCCAGATCTAATTATGTTAAAACTCTTGTTGGAATTCAGCCATCCTAAAGCCTCTGCACCCTGTTCCCAACGTCTTGGTTCCCTGCTCTCTCTCACACTCACTCTCTGCCTCTCCCAGGAAAAAGTTAACAGCTCCAGGGCCAGAACCAGCTTCCTTCCCCACGCCACCCCAGCCCAACACGCTTCCCTCTGTAACCAACACAGAAAGTTTGCTTACACCACTAGGCAGTTCAAACTGTAAGCGTGGGAAGGAGAGTATCACAGACAACCCCCTCTACCCTGAGGCCTTTCCAGGCAATTTACAGCACAACAAAAATTGCAGAGCAACTACTCGTTTGTGGAATCCCCAGATGTTTCCCCTCAAGCAAGCCGTTTGCTCCAGGCAACATCCCATTATCCCAGAGTGCAACAGCAGCAGACATTACGGGTGCTTGGAAAAAGGTTGGTCCTTCTCCCTCCCTCTCTGCCACCGTTTGATGCGGAGTGCTTGTCTGGAATGCCATTGCTCAAGGTCTGGTTGCCACCACTGGATTATTCCACTCCATCTGACGGCATGCGGTTTGTGTGTGTTTGTGCGATCCAGCTCCACCCCGCCCCCCAAAAAAAATCACATTTGAGTGATGTGGGGTGATACTTAAAAAAAAAATCTCTAGCATTCCATCTGTGATACTCTAGAGCAGAGGTCAGCAAACTTTTTCAGCAGGGGGCCGGTCCACTGTCCCTCAGACCTTGTGGGGGGCCAAACTATATTTTTTTTGGGGGGGGGGAATCAACCAATTCCTATGCCCCACAAATAACCCAGAGATGCATTTTACATAAAAGGGCACATTCTACTCATGTAAAAACACACTGATTCCCGGAATGTCCGCGGGCCGGATTGAGAAGGTGATTGGGCTGGATCCAGTCCCGGTCCTTAGTTTGCCTACCCATGCTCTAGATCAGGGTTTCCCACAATTTGGGTCTCCAGCTGTTGTTGGACTACAACTCCCATCATCCCTAGTTGTCAGGGATGATGGGAATTGTAGTCCAAAAAGTTTGGGAAACCCTGCTCTATAGTCACACAGGAAACTCCCTGCTTGATGCTGCAGTCACCGAGTAAGCAATGTGCTACGTGTCAACCTACCCTAAGTGACACAAACACCCAAAGAAGGGAAGGGGCACCTAGGTCTCTCCCCAGATACTGTCGGGCTAAAGACTTCACCATCCCTGATACCACTGGCTGTGCAGAAAGAGGGTCCAAAAGTTATCCCATTCTCAAGTTTCTTCTACAGTATATAGCAAGGGAGGGGCATTTTAATCACATGCTGTTTTGCATCACACATCTAGGAGAGAATAAGCCAGTGGCTTCCAAATCCACCCCACCCACCCCCTGCAGCCACTCAAAAATCGCTGAAGATCCTTGTGGACTACTTGAAAATTTTCCTCCCCATGGTAGCCAATGTATTGTGCTATACTAGGTACTGCACGGCGTGTATTTTTCATTGCTTCTTTTAGCTCTTGCATATTGCGTTCCAGTTTCAATTCCATAGAAGCAATAAAGATGCAACTGAACTAGGACTATTTATTGCAATGGATGTGCCATGCCCAACCACAGATACCAATGAGCTGCCTAAATGAAGGTGAGGGGTTATTGGGGTTCCCACAGAACAGAGTTTGGGAATCCCTGCTATAAGTTATTAGAGGCTCACACAGGACAGCTCCCTCCTCCCTTCCAACTTTCTGCAGGTCACAGTTGTTTTTAGAAGTTTTCCTTTAAAAAAACAAAACAAAAACACCTTAATTTTACAAACCTAGATACCTCTTCTTATTTTAGAAGTCCCCTGAGCATGCAGTAAAAAACTCAAAAGCCTTATCTTTGGATGACCCCATTCAGTTTCCAAACTGATATGCACACCTCTTGGCTTTGCTATTAGATGGAACAATGATGAAGAAGATGCAGCAGTTAGATTTCTGTACCTAGGGTCTTCCTTAAAATGGAGTTGGAAAAAACACAAAACAAAGCACAGAACGGAACCTTACTTGGGGAGCGGTAGTTCTGGAATGTGATCGATGCGGACCAGCTGCCTTATCCGGAAGCGGCAAAGGTGCTGTAGCGATTTAACGTTGCTAAACCTAGAGACGGGATAGAGGAGCTGGACAGGGGTCGGAGGGAGACCTGCAAGTTAAAAGTAAGTAAATAAATACATTGGGAGTGGGGGAGAACTTCTCAGGAAATATCTCTGCAGCTATCTCAGAAACATCTGAGAAAGATATTTGTTAGGAGCATGAGGCCAAGTGAGTACTGGAAGCCTCTCCAGCCACTGCCTGTATTGGACACTTGCTGGAAGCCTCTCCAGCCACTGCCTGTATTGGACACTTGCTGGAAGCCTCTCCAGCCACTGCCTGTATTGGACACTTGCTGGAAGCCTCTCTAGCCACTGCCTGTATTGGACACTTGTTGGAAGCCTCTCCAGCCACTGCCTGAGCCCCCTCTCTCCTTCTAGTAAAAGACTTGGCCCTACACATCTGCTATGTGTTAGGAGTGTAGTGGATCTCACAATCAAAAGCATCTAAATGTTTCACACGCACGTTTAAATACATACCTGGAACCCTGGATCGCAAGAAATAAAGGAACTTCCCATTTTTGGAGTGCATGATGGCACGCTTGATGAACTCCACCACGGACTGGCAGCGGTCTTCAAACTTGGGGTGGCACCAAAGGCTGAAGGTCCCTGCCAATGAAGGAACATTAAGGGGCATGTTGGACAGAAAAGCAGAGGGTGGAAGAGCATCCATCTGTTATGTGCATGTGTGTCCCCCAGACTCTACAAAATAACGGCAATCTGCACAGGTGAGTGGATAGAATGCTGGCACAGAGAGATCAGGCTTAAGAGTCCAACCTATATCACAGATGCTCCCTTGGGCAGATTCCTCTCTGTGTGGACTTGACCTTCTATGCAAGGTGAGTAGGGTGCCACCCTAGGTTAATGCCCTTGCCCTGCCCTCAAGGCTCACCTCTGTAATGCTCCATTCTGGTGTGGTGGGTTATACCCTGTGATCGAAAGCTGAGGCTCAGGATGTACCGAGGATCGGAGCTGTCACGAACCAAGAAGGACCCGTCAGGTTTCCCTTTCAACTTCATTTCAGCATCTTCCCAGTTCATTGGTCCCCAGTACCAACCACACTGTTGGTTTAAAAAAAAAGGGGGGAGGAACATTTTGTAGCTTACTGTCACAGCATAATGATTTGTCCATGCAACACAGTCTAAGTGATGTTCCATACAATGCGATTTCCTCATCCTTTCCCTGTGCTGTTCCTCTGCCCCCAAAATCTACTCCAGAGGGCACCTCAACCCTCTGGAGCAGATTTTGAAGGTGATCAGGAACAGCAGTAGAGAAAAAAGATGGCGGGGAAAGTCGGTTGCACAAACAGAAGTCTGTAGCATGAGCGGAACAGCAGTTTTATGTACAATCCTATGTGTTTTGTTTTTGGAATCGTGGGATAAATGGGAATCAATCTGATTAAACAGCAAACTTTTACAAGCATGTGGCTGTACATTCCAGCTCCAGCACCTATTCTCTGGCTTAGCATAAGGAAAGCAGAGTTGCACTAATTTACACTAAGCAAAAGATTACTTAAATCATCCGGGCATAACACAAGTAGGCAGTTCCCTGTAAAGTCATTAGAGGAATTTCACTGGCATAGAACCAGAGACGCATGAGTCACTTATTTTCCCTGATGTTATTACAAAATAAGACACACCGGACTGCAAAACTGCAGTGTACGCATGCAGGGCCGGCCCACCCATGAGGCAAGGTGAGTGACCACCTCAGGTGGCAGGATTCACAGGAGCAAAAGTTACCGCTCTCAATGTTTCTTGCCCCACTTGTTCCTGCTGCAGGTCTTTCCTGGCCCTTTATTCCTTGGCAGGGACCGGGGGAGCCATTTTGGGGTCCCGCCTCAGGTGGCAAAATGTCTTGGGCCAGACCTGCATGCACAGGCCTGTTCCAAACCAGCTTTAACCATCTGCAAAATATAGGGCCAGCAAAACCACAGGTTATGTGCAAGCTCTGACAATCCACAATTTACCACACACAGAGGAATTTTACTTTTAGCCCCCGTGCTCACCACGGAAGCAGAGCATCATCACAACGGAACCATCATAAGAACCTCCGCTGAACTTTCAAAAAATACATTTTCAGCCTTTCTTTTTCTATTTTTTCTAATTCTTTTTAAATAAAAATTATTTATGCTTTCCAAATTTATACATTTTGCTAGTTTTACAATCATTTTAACATTTCAAAACTTTGACCTCCTTCCCCCTCTTCCTGCGGTTCCTTAAATTTAATTTTAATATCTTCTGCATATCCAAATTAACTTAATTTGCTCATTTATTCATTTACTTTAAATATATACTCTTATAAAACTGCAGGTTATTACAACAATCCTGCCAATAATCTGTTTACAATTCATCTGTAAATATTCAATAAACCAATTCCATTCTTTTATAAAAAGTTTGGTTATCTTGATTCCTTATTCTTCCAGTAAGTTTCACCATTTCTGCATATTCCATAAGTTTTTGTATCCATTATTCCTTTGCTGGGACTTCTACTTCTTTCCATTTTGGGAGGAGTAACATTCTCGCTGCTGTAGTAGCATACATGAATAAGTTTCTATGCAGTTTAGGTAGTTCTGTCCCTATAATTCCCAAAAGTAAAGCTTCTGGTTGTTTTTTTGTTTTTTTTTACAAACAAAATCCTTTTCAATTCATTATGCATCATTTCCCAGTAAGCTTTAACCTTACTACAAGACCACCACATACGATAAAGAGAACCTTCTTTCTCTTTACACTTCCAACACTCATTTGGTTTAGGTCAGCCTTACTTTTTCTAGCTCCCGCAAACTAGCTGCAAAACTGCTCGAGTCAGGCCGGTAGAGAGGGCACTGGAGGTGCTGTGCAGGTTGGCTGTGTACCGCTTCTGGTGCTCTGATCGGGATGATCCGGGGAAACGCATCTGAAAGGGGAGAGGAAAGGGTTAAGACATGCAGCCACCCAAGGAATTAAAAAGCCAAGACGACTGGTGGCAGCTGCCCATGGCAGCAAAATTCTACACCGGTCCTGAACAGGACATTACCGCCCCGCTCCCAACACACAATGAAGAGAAATTACTGAAAGTATAGACCAGACATAGGCAAACTCATCCCTCCAGATGTTTTGGGACTACAATTCCCATCATCCCTGACCACTGGTCCTGTTAGCCAGGGATGGTGGGAGTTGTAGTCCCAAAACATCTGGAGGGCCGAGTTTGCCTATGCCTGGTATAGACCCTGCACCACAAGCAGTGGCAGCCTTCCAGATGTTGTTGGACTATTACTCCCATCATCCCTGACCACTGACGTTTGCTCTGACAACATCTGGAGGGCCACAGGTTCCCCATCTCTGGCCTACAGCTGCTAAAAAACTGTTCAAAACCCTAATATACTCTCTGAAATGTAATTAGAAGTTTTATACACACACACACACACACACACACACACACATACACACCACAGGAATATAAGAACTGGATGAAAACATCAATCAAGAAAACCGCTTGGACTAAATTATATAAATTTGGAATTAATTTGATAGTAACTAGTATTTGTACACAGTGGTACCTCTGGTTACGAACTTAATTCGTTCCGGAGGTCCGTTCTTAACCTGAAACCGTTCTTAACCTGAGGTACTACTTTAGCTAATGGGGCTTCCTGCTGCCGCCACACCGTCAGTGCACGATTTCTGTTCTCATCCTGAGGTAAAGTTCTTAACCCGAGGTACTACTTCTGGGTTAGCAGAGTCTGTAACCCGAAGTGTTTGTAACACGAGGTGTTTGTAACTCGAGGTACCACTGTAATTGGCAAAATTGTACTAATCCTGGGTAAACATTGTAAAACTAATAAAAATTTATTTATAAAAATAACACCCTAATACAGTATAATCTAAGCATCCTACAGTAAGCTTCACTCCCTATATCCGACCTACCCATTTTCCACAAACCAATTCTTACTATTACAGTGGTACCTCAGCTTTTGAACATCTCTGTTGACGAACATTTCGGTTTTTCAAACGCCATAAACCTGGAAGTAAATGCTTCAGTTTCCAAAAACGCCTTGGAAGTCGAACATGCCACACGGCTTCCACTGAGTGCAAGATCAGTGAGGCCTAGCTGTTGGCTATTGAGTTTTCGATTTTCAAATGTTTCAGAACTTGAACAGTCTTCCGGAACGGATAACGTTCGAAAACCGAGGTACCACTGTATAACCATTGTGTGCTCACCTTGGTGCCAAAGACAGCACTGGGCATCCTTGGGCAACTACTAAGGCCTCAGCAGGACCTACTTGCGATACCTGCCCTGAGCACCCTTGGTTTTGTTTTTTTACCCCTGGGCTGGCATTCTGAGCAGCATCAGGCAGCTGGATCTAGCCAATCTTTAAAATTCCCATAATGCCCCCAAACTTAGCATTGGTGTGAGTCGCTGTGGGAAACTGAGGCGCCACTAAATCAAGAGCCAACTCTGGCCCACTTCCTCCCCTGCTTTCCTCCTGGCGAGAGGTAAAAGTTTCTGGAAGGGCAGAGTGGTGGAGGAATGGAGCTCTTTGAACATAGGAAAAGAACCTGGCAAATGCATATTATGATTAGCTGGATTGATCTCCTTTCTATGGATAGCTATGCTCAGATATCTTTAACCTTAAACACAATACTAAAATCAGCTAAAAAGAACTTTCCTCTATTTCTGACGTTCAGGCCATTGGAAATGTAACTACAATCAAGGAGGAGGTATCGTCAGACCTTGGGGTACCCCAAGGCTGGCAGAGGTACAAAATATTCGGGGGGAAAGCTAAGCAGGGCTGGGGAGGTTCCCAAACAGCCCAAAGAGGACTGAGCGAGTTTAGTGGCCACAGAATGCTATTTTGGAGGGTAGGGGGACACAGAAATCCAGGTGGGAGGGGGGATGCAATGGAGTACTTCTGGAGCAGGCTTAGCTGGCTGACCGGATCAGGAGCACTTCTCCATGCAACGTTTTGTTGCAGCGCTCACTTCTCTTTAGCTAGCTATCTAGAACATTCATATCAACCACCAGTAGCCAGGAAACACTGTGTAGGAAGACCTTCAGTTTCTCATCGGCTGGCGAAAGGGAACCCTAGATGTCTCTAGAGGCAGATCTGCCCCAGGCAGGGCATTCCATAAGGCAAATGCCACTGAAGGCTAAATCCCTAATTAGTTCCCTGGCTGAGATCTCACTTCACGCAGGGGGCAGAAGAAAGAGGCATCAGCCACAGGTCTCAGAAGGATGGAGTGGGGCTGAACCACACAGGAAGCAGAAGCTGTGGTGGGGCTGGGGAAAGGAGGGGCAACACAGAAGCTAGACACTGGACACTCCCAGTTGCGGAAAGCGAGTCTCTAAACCAGGGTTTCCCAAACTTGAGTCTCCAGCTGTTGTTGGACTACAAATCCCATCATCCCTAGCTAGGAGGACAAGTGGTCAGGGATGATGGGAACTGTAGTCCCAAAAAACACCGGAGACCCAAGTCTGGGAAACACTGCTCTAGGGTTGACATGTCTTCTTTTGGAGGGGAAACCTGGCAATATGGGGCGTGGGTGGCTTGGGGTCAAGCTCTGTATTGGGGGGCAACTGCACACACAAAAAACCCCAACTACTTTCCAAATATTTACTTCTTGAAATACGGCAACCCCACTCTAGACACACACTGCACCATTGCCCCAACAGAGGGAACAGCTCTTAATAGGGCTTCTGCTGACTTTCTAATTTGTTTCTGGCTATTAATTTAACTGGGCAGTTTTAAACAAGCTGTTGTATGACCCATGTCTTTTTAAAAATGAGGAGGCGGGAAAACATGCCTTTGCTAAAATTCCATAGCCTCAACTCACCTAAAGATGAACACCTCAAACCACATCAGGTACACAAACTGGCAATCCCTTCCTAGTATAAATCAGGCAGGAATCATCCTTGCTTGGTTAGAACAGTTTTATTCCAGGATGCTCTTGCACTGCAAATGTTCCTCTGATGTTACATTCCTCCAATGTTTCATACATGTCATATATTTTACGCTTTTATTTTGTAAACTGGTTTGGAGACCCGGATGGTGAAAAGCAGGGTATAATTTATTCCATCCAGGAAAAAGAGCTCCAGAGAGCTGCCTTCAAATATAGCTCAGTTCAGTAAATTTTAACCCAGTCTCCCTCAAGGAACTTATAGGGGTAATAAAGTGCCTATATCTTGGGAGGTTTAAGCCACTAGATAAAAGAAAGTCACTAACAGAGGGAGGAATTCTAAACACTGTACAGCCCTGGTTGGCCACAAGGGGCAGCAAAGTCATATACTTTTGGGGCCACCTTTAGCGGGAAATCTCAGTGGAAGCCTGTTCAATTCCGAAGCAATTCTATATTACGTGGGTAGCAAGAAACTCCTTTAAGGAGGTGGCTGATAAGGGGAATGGCAGGTTCTAATAATGCTTAGTAAATGTGCTTGTTGGTCTCGGTTGAGATACTGTTTGAGTTATACCACTCGGCAAGGCAGGCTATACTGGGCAATGTGGGGCAGAGTCCCACTGTTATTTTTTTCTGCACCCCAAAATCCAAAGCTGTAACTCAGCCTTCCCATGCCTCACCATCCCACTGAGTCATGTTCATTCAGAAACTTTTCTAGAGCAGAGCCGTGTGTCACGACATGTGAGTGTGTCAGCTGCAGTGTGTAAGTGTAAGTGTAAGGGCAGGAACTCCCCATGCTCCTTCCGGGGCTGGAAAGGCGTTAGTTTAACCTCCGGTTTGCGAGTAAAACTGAATTAAAGGTAAAGGGACCCTTGACCATTAGGTCCAGTCGTGGCCGACTCTGGGGTTGCGGCGCTCATCTCGCTTTATTGGCCGAGGGAGTCGGCGTACAGCTTCCGGGTCATGTGGCCAGCATGACTAAGCCGCTTCTGGCGAACCAGAACAGCGCACGGAAACGCCATTTACCTTCCCGCCGGAGCGGTACCTATTTATCTACTTGCACTTTGACGTGCTTTCGAACTGCTAAGTTGGCAGGAGCAAGGATTGAGCAACGGGAGCTCCCCCCATCGCGGGGATTCGAACTGCCGACCTTCTGATCGGCAAATCCTAGCCACTGTGGTTTAACCCACAGTGCCACCTGCGTCCCTTTAAACTGAATTACTGTGTCGCAAAATGATGCAAAACCGAGTTACTGTGTCACAAAACAATGCATGTCTAAAAAGTGTGTGACCGGCATGAAAAGTTCAGAAAGCTCTGTTCCAGAGGCTTTTCTGCCCACCACTTTTTTGGTATAACCAGCTGAAAAATTACGCGGACTCCTAGAAATGCAAGACTTCCAGGGGTCCAAGTTTCCCCCTCTGACACTCTGGTCCAAGAAGCATGCTTAAGTATCTGCTGTATTTTTTAATTTTTGCGAGGGAGGAAAATGGGAAGAAAACCAGTTGACCTTGCCTCCCCTTAGCTGCCCTGTCCACCAGTATAGCAGCTTCACTGGTTACCAGTATCACTGCTGGCCATTGTGCAACAGCAGCATTATGGAGCCACCACTCACTTCTATGGGAGAGCAAAGAAGAAGGCAGAGCACGGCTAAGGTGGTGCTCCCCCCCCCCCAATTCCAGACACCCGTTACACCAGTGTCAGGACAGTGCAGGCAAGTTCACTACCAGCAAGTCAAATCCATGGCACCAAGGACCAACAATGCTGACAGCAGCAGCTCTGGTTAAAAATAGCAACCCAGAACGCCCACGACTCTACCGTATATTCAATTACTCCAATCATTTGAAAGTTAAAGTATCTGCAAAATTCTGCTCCAGACCATCCCATAGTAGCTAATAGGAGCAAGGCAAAATTTGTCAGGAGTCTTGAAAAGGGGCCAGGAGGAGAGGGTTTCAGCTGAATTCTGTACACATGGCTTGGCATCTCCAGCCTGACCAAGAGAAGGGGTGCAGTGCCATGGAATTTTTTTGCGTACTATTCTGTTTCTTGCACACCGCCTTGAGTCCAAAAATCCGATAATTCAAATGGAAAGCCCAGCTCCAGGGAGGGGAGGCGGAAATTTACAGCGGAATTTTTTGGAAACCACGAGGATCAAAGCTAAACTGACCCGGGGCGTGCGGCGGAGGCGGCGGAGGCAGAGGAAAAGACTGGAGGGACGAAGACCCCATCGGACCCACTAGGACAGATGTAGGCAGTGTCCCACTGATATCGTCTAGAAGAAGAACATAAAAAATAATTGAAATGTCCAGGAACTAAGAAAAACTCAAAATGGGTGTAAGACAGGCTCGCATTAGCTTCACCTTCTCCAAGACCCAAACATTCACCTTGAGAGTCTTCTACATCAATTAAAAGAAGCGTGAAGACACATGCTTAGCAAAGGTTTATCCATACTTATTTGTGGCATGCACAGATTGTAAAGCGTTGGCTATCTTGCGTACCAAGATGAAAAGCTACCCTTTCAGGACAAGTTTCCTTGGGTGGGTGGGGAGGGAAACAACTTCAGATGCTGCAATACTTCATCTTTTGATGGTCTCTTAGCCATCTGTCAATATGGTTGCCCGTAAGCCGTTTATTCCTGGGATTGTTTATCACCATTTAATAATGTGAGCAATCACTTCTCATAGGCAGAAAGGTGTCCCAACGTGTATGCACACATATATACACACACACTGGTGTCGCTGAAGATGCAAAAGTTCATATATTGACTTGCGGGGTGCAAAATCCTTCGAAAAACCAGGTCTTAACATGATCATAGAATCAGAGGCAGAAGGGACCCCAAGGGTCATCTAGCCAATCCCCCTGAAATGCAGGAATCTCAGAATCCAGTCTCCCATCCAATTTGAAACCATACCAAACCCTGCTTAGCTTTGCAAATGTGCAGGCAATTTTATCGCTGCACCAAGGAATCCGTTTAAATCTGAGAGATGCTGAAGGTGGGCTGGTGGGTGTTGTTTTTTTTAATAGAATAGCTATATTTTATAGAAAGCAGGTGTAACAGCTTGGAAGGTTCAGCCACGCCAGCACAGCCCACCAGACATGCCCACCAAGGGACTCAGCAAAACTTCCTGGCTTTGTCTGTGACTGCAAACTAGGGAGGAGGAGCCCACAAGCACCTGCCAAGCCATAACCCACAGTTGGCTGGTTCTATCTGCAAAGGTAGAGGACATGCCAAACAGGCCTGACTCAGTATTCCCCCCGAAAAAGGGCTTCCTGGCTTAAAATGCATAGAAGCTTCATTTCAAAGATGGGGCACCTGCGTCCCTCCAGATGTTGCATTATCCCTGGCATCTGGAGGACCACAAGTCCCACCCCCCCAGCCCCACTTTAGACGCTGGCAATGCTGCCACTCTGCCTGGCTTTATATAGCAGGAAACCCCAGGCACAGGAGCCAAACACAGCTGTCCATCTGGCCCCTCGGGGCTCTCTCCAAACTACTTCCTTCATTACTGGCCTGCTTTTCCCCTACCTTGACTGCTTTTGCCAGGCTGGAAAGTGCCCTTGACCTGGGATAATACCTACTGCTGCTCGCTTGGGCGGAAGATGGGAGAGATATGCATGTGCACACACACGTAGAAACTTCTGGCTTGCGTGGCTAGAACACAACGTTGCACCCTGTGCATTCTGGCCTCACCCACAACCAGGAAGGAATGTGAAAGGTCCCTGCTTTATTGTAACACTGACATGATATCATGCTGCCCATAGTCCTACCTGTAGCAGCAAGCGATGAGAGACTCCATATCTCTTGTAACACCTACTTCAGGGTTTCCCAAACTTGGGTCTCCAGCTGTGGTTTGTTTTTATTTTTTACTACAATTCCCATCATCCCTGACGGCTTGTCCTGCTACCTAGGGATGATGGGAGTTGTAGTCCAAGAACAGCTGGAGACCCAAGTTTGGGAAACCCTGATCTAGCCTAAAACTTTCTGCAGCAACTAGCTTTCTATGCACTTTGTACCATCTCCTTTGTTAAAGCGCCAGCCCTCTCTTGTCGCCAGCCTCCCACGCACAAAAGGAGCGCATAAAGCGCGATGCAGGAAGTTCATTCATCCTAAAGGGTGGCAAAATCCAAGTGCATTTCCAGCCGTTCAAGGGGAAGATCTGATGCCCAACATAAAACGAGAGGTTGGCGCAAGTGCGGGGATAGGAGTCCATTCAAAGAGACACAACTGCTTCTGAGCATTAGAAAGGAAATTGAATTTAAGGCTGCACATATAATAAATGCTGCCAAAGTTCCTGAGCTAGATGGAACAAAATGGGCAGGTGCAGGCAGCTTTGTATGCTTAAATCTAGCAGGGATAAGATAGCTCCCATCATCACTGACCACGCTGGCTGGGGCTGATGGGAGCTGGAGTCTAGCAACATTTGGAGGGCCACAGGTTCCCCATCTCTGATCATAGAATCGTAAGAGTTGGAAGGGATCCCGGGAGTCATCAAGTCCAAACCTCCTGAAATGCAGGAATTTCAACACGCAGCCTCCCATCCAATGTGAAACCATACTGGACCCTGCTTAGCTTTGCTAATGTGCCAGCAGTTCTATTGCTGCACCATTTTATAATTGTATAAGGACTTGTTTGCAAGTATGCACACAAATGATCCATCTGCAAGAATCTCAGTTATCCTTTTCTTTTTAGAAAGCAAGCCAGCTTCTGGACGTTGTAACTATGTAAATACATGGGTTTGTTTTTTAAAAAAAATACAGAGAGAGATAGAGGGGGCAACACCAAGCAGTATCTCAAAAGCCAAAAAGGGTAAGAACAGGAATTCCAGGAGTGAAGGGAAAGAGATCAGTGTGACCTATTTGACTCTTTACCCTTCCACCATGGGTAGCAAAAGCAGCGAAATTATGCAAAACAAACATGCAACTTTGCATAATGCATAAAGGCTGCTGAATTTAACTTCTTGGCTCCGGTTTTGGTTGTGCTGCGCAGGATTTGGGGATGAGGGGGAGGAAGAGAGCACAGAAGATGACACAAGGAGGCTTCTCCGAGAACAAAAACCCGAAGGCTGTGAAGTGCTACACACCAAATGGGTTTTAAGAGGCTTCCTTCCGTTCACTGAAAAAGATCATTACAAAGCAGCAGATGAAAAAGATGGGGCAGGGCCTATTCTGGGGGGCGAGGGAGGGAGGGAGGGAGGACTCTGGGCGAAATGTGCAGTTTCGCAAAAGGTAATTCAGGAGACAAGCAGTACCCAAAAGGCTGAGGCTTCGCCGTGGGGGAGGTGGCGGCGTCGGAGGGTGTGGGGACGTCAGACCGCGCTGGGAGATGTCGACATCAACCAAAGACACTGTCTCACCTAGGAAGATGTGGGAAAAGTAGATATTAGAACCAACAGCATCCCAGGGACTTGCATTCAAACCAGCACCCAATCCCCAGGAGGTACTTTTCACTGCCAGGCCTGCGATCATCTGATGCAGCTGCCTATAAACATGCACAGAGTGCCTTTTCCCTTGCCAGTAAGCAACTGCACCCAGCTCTCCTTCATGACGTCAAATTTAGAAGATTTCTAGACATCTCGAAGAGGGATGACGTTGAACAACACTGAAATGCCTCCCCAAAACACACACACTTTAAATTGAAGAGCTTAATCTGTGCACCGTCTAAATAGGGCAAACGTAGAAACCACAAGCTGCATTCAGCTAGGTGCTACTCAGAGCAGACCCATTGAAATTAATGGTCCCCAAGTTAGTCATGTCTATTAATTTCAACGGGTCTGCTCTGAGTAAGACTTGCATGGAAAGCAACCCTGTATCCCTGGAATTTTAATGGCAGAAATTAACAATCATCATCTGGATGGTGTGTATCTGAATGGGCCACCCTGCCTTCCTTTCTAAACAGCTGAGTAACAGCGTGTAATACACCTGGTGATGATCTCCCCACCCCAAACAATACGCAATGGATAAGACGAGCATAAACTTGCCCTGACCTATATTTGAAACCAGGAAATGAATCAAGTTATTCTCTAGCGTTGAAGTCAAAGCCATGCTTCCTATTGCAACTTTGGAGTAAGCTCCATTGAACGCAACAAGCCATAGATCGCGTAGGCTTGCCCTCCTTTTGCTAGGTGTTTGGAATGGAGTCAGATCCTCCCCTCCCCAGATTCTCAAATGCATCCTCTGCCACAAGGGCGGAGAGACACTTTCGGTGTCTGACTCCAAAGCACTGCCTTTTCCTTCAGGTCCTCCATAGTTACACTGAACTGCAACCTACTTGCTGTTACACCAAGTAGGGAACTGCTAGAGGTTAGAATCAACATTTTGCCCTCTGCATTTCCTTAGATGCAACTCTGTGACCTCTGATTTTGTGGGTTTATTTTTTTAACCACTAACTTTTTAATAATAATAATAATAATAATAATAATAACAATATTCTCTGATCTGGGTGAGCCTATGTAAATTTTCCTAGCACCACACTAATGCTTTTGTCCTCTCAGTCTAGTTGCTGAGATTAAACCCAACTCGGCCAGAGGGTTAGTGTATTTATTTATTAAATTTCCTTTCAGCTCTTCCTCCTAAAGGAGCCTAGGGCTGTTATATATAGGTGAGTTGTTGGCAGTGTTGTTTGCACCCTGATAAAGTCCCTTAATCCACAAGGGACTGATCTACTCTAATCAGGAATTAGGGATAGTTACCGATTGTGGTGAATTTTAGACTATCCTGGGTAAAGTTGGAGCAACTGGACATCCTCTGATTTACTAAGTGTTTTCTGCTGCCACCCCTCTCCCCAGAATGCAAGAGGAAGGACTCTCTAAAGCAGCCTTTCCCCCATCCTGGGTCCCCAGATGTTGCTAAATTGCAACTCCCATCATCCATGGTCATTGGTTATGCCGGCTGGGATGAGGGAGGCTGGGCTCCAGGAGTAGTCTCATCCTGCCATGTGTTTGCAAAAATATGTTTTATTATATATCACACACAGACACATATGTGCACAAAGTATTTTTTAAATGCTTACACTGAAATATAATAAAAATGTAAGGATGTCATCACGCAGCCCCCTTTGGAGGATTTGTAGTGCCTCAACACAAACCTGGATTGCAAAGGGGGATGGAATGGCATGGGGGTGGCAAGCAGAGTGAGAAGGGGCACAGCACCAGTCTCCCCCCCCCCCCCAAAAAAGGCAGAATCACTCCAAAGCTAGTTATGGGTTTTTTAAAAATAAAATAAAAGTGGTACTATTCTTAGGTTTAAAGACCCACAGCAACACATTATACATGCACAGAATAATAAAACCACAAGCAATTCCTTCAAGGGAAAAGGAGAGAGAAATCAAGCTTGACACTCACCCGTGAAGAGGGGACCGAAAGCAACTGGAGAAAAGGCACTTTGCGTTCGCATCAATCTCTGTTTTCTATAAAAAAGACGGACAGATGAGCCTGTAAATAAGACAATGCTGGGTGTCTGTTCACCTCTCAGAGGCTCCATCCTTCTACCCACGAATGCTGCCTCAAGAGATCCAAAAACTCTGCTTTTGAATTATATTCTCTGATTATAAGGAGCATAGGGAGAGGGTAGCTGCAACAAGGACACTATTTCAACACAGGCTGGTTTGCAACCTCATAGGGCTGCATTCCTATGCACATTCACCTGGTAGTGTCATTTGGCTCAATGAGGCTTACTTACAAGTAGGCATGAATGGTATCGTGATGCATTGTTAACTCATAAGCTGCCTCAAAAAGGGTAGGGGAGCCAGGGTGAAAATATCTGAAGTAAATAAAACAAACCCAATCATTCTGTCCATTCAGCCTGTGATGCTGATTTAGGGAGTTTAAGGTTTTACTCTAAAACACACCTTAAATATAACGTTCCACCTGGAAGAATGAAGCAGGCTCCTGGCTTTAATTCAGAAAAAAAAAATATTGCACGCCTCAGCTATCAGAAGGCTGCGCCGTCATCTGGCTTCTAAGCCCCCATCATTAAGAATTAAGATGCAACGAAGCTTCTAGACCCCATGGTGGCAGTTATTAAACTCAATCTAACTAGAAGCGATTTGAGGAATTGCTAGTATCCAAGGTGAAAGACTGGCATTCTTCAGGGGAATTAGCACCCCAATAAGGTTTCCCTTAGAAGTTGTGGTCACTTTACAGAGTCAACCTGATTTCTGTTTTAAAGGTGTTAGAAGGGCAGGAAATAAATTAAATCAATGATGCTTGCTTGCTCATGAAACATCAACCTGCTCTTGTTCTACTGCTTCTGCCCCCTTTATGCTTGGATTTTTCAAACTACTTTTATGACAATAAAAAAAAACCACATTTGTTTTTCAAGGTCAATTTCTATTGTCGCTATTATTGGTGAGAGTGGCTTTGACTGTGTTAAACTAAACTGGCACCCTTTCCCACTCTATACATCAAGGTAAAGGGACCACTGACCATTAGGTCCAGTCACAGACGACTCTGGGGTTGCGGTGCTCATCTCACTTTATTGGCTGAGGGAGCCGGCGTACAGCTTCCGGGTTATGTGGCCAGCATGACTAAGCTACTTCTGGCGAACCAGAGCAGCGCACAGAAATGCTGTTTACCTTCCCGCCGGAGCAGTACCTATTTATCTACTTGCACTTTGACGTGCTTTCGAACTGCTAGGTTGGCAGGAGCAGGGACCAAGCAACGGGAGCTCACTCCGTCATGGGGATTCGAACCGCCTACCTTCTGATCGGCAAGCCCTAGGTTCTGTGGTTTAACCCACATCTCCACCCACGTCCCACTCTATACACAGATATACACATAAGGGCTGGCTCATATCTGGCTTTCAGCGTTATGATATATCACCAGCTAGACATTGCAATATAATGATGCATCACAATGTCCAAAATAAGGATGGAGCTATGTAGAGGCATTGGCTGGCTTCATGTTTTTTTCCTGAATCGTAATTTTTGCATAGTACATACACCATAATCTGCAATATATTGCCAAGTCAAAAATTATGAAACCAATTACCGCAATATGGACTTCAAACCAGTTTTGGACGATATATCTCCCAGTCCTAATAAACACACCCCTTCCCACCCCATCTTTAACCACAGACAAGTGTGAGTGAAGAGGTTCTATCCTTTTTTTACTCTCACTGTTCGTATCATCAGTTCAGCCATTGCACAGGTGTGCTTAATTTGAAAGTGCACCTCCTCCCCCCCAATGGATGGGGGGTGGGCAGAGCAAGGGACATTTGCAATGGTACTCCATTTTCTGGGCCCAGAAACCACAAACAGAAAATGTAGTTAGACGCCACAAATTATGTCAGCGTTCGTTAACAGGAAACCGTGTTCTATCACACATTTTTAAGTACCCAATTTTCCAAGGGGCCATGCTGACAAATCGGTGGTAATTTAGTCCACCTTCTCCTCCCAGCAGCAAAAATCAAACTGTGGAACAGAAGTGTAGACCACAGTGCACACACACCACAAATTATTCCAGTACGCACCATAAATTTAAAGCACACACCCAGCCCCAAAGAACCCTGAAGAGGGTTGTTTACTCCTCACAGAGCTACAATTCCCAGCAACCTTAAACTACAATTCCCAGAATTTTTCCTTTGGAGGTGTGTGTTTTAAAGTTGTGGTGTATATGAGGTAACTGAAATGCCTTAAGATGAAAAGGTGTTATATACATACACACATATATACTCAGTTTTCAAAAATTTACAAATACACACCTTACAATCACATGATTCCAATACATAACAGACTTCCCTCCCCACCTTTTGTGGTTTCTTGTCTTATTTAAATTTTTAACACTGCATTTTCCACTTTACTCCATTTTTAAGTTATTCTGCAGTTTATCTTTGATGATAATTTAAACTGATCGATTTAAGTTAACCCTACCAAGGCACTTGCTTGCATGCCATAATTTTTCAGGTATTACCACAAATGTTCCCCACTCTTTAATTAATTTTGTCCCCTCTTGGTTTCCTGTTACACCCGTTACGTTTTGCCATTTTGGCATCAGTCTGGTCAGCCAACTCTTCTTTGGTTGGTAAAACATCCTTGTTGCACCTCTGGGCAAAGATCACAGGGTATTTTTGTGCCCCGAGACACAATTGTGTTTCATAAACAGCCTGGAGGCAGATGAGATAAGCTCCTCCAAAAGTATAAAAACTTCTTTATATGTGGGCAAGTCAAATCAATTCTATAGAAAGTGGCTATTTTCAAGTCTGCTTGTGTTGTGTTGGAGTTATCTCTAGGTTTTGAGCCCCATTCTCAACCCCTAAAAAGAAAAAAAAGTCTGCTGTTAACATGGGACAGGAGCATTTTCCTTTCGGACTCTCGGACCCTTCCTTCACCATTAACCTCTGAAGTTCAGAAACCCGTAAGTAAGTGCAGAGCAGAGAAAAATGACATAAATGCTTTGCGGGGGGAACCTCTATAGATAACTCAAGCCATATTTTGTAAGCGAGAGCAATAGATAACTAGACATGAACAAAGTCCAGCCCAGAAAAAAAAATCCTATCTGATTTTGGGTGGGAATTTTCTCACACTTCAGAGGTGAAAGCCAGTCACCCCATGAACACAAAATGGAACCCATCCATGCCAACTATCCCGGGAGTTAGAGATCACATCCATATGAATTCCCCCTCAAGGAATCCTGGGAACTGTGGCTTACCCACCACAGAGCTACAATTCCTGGTACTTTTAAACTACAGCTCCCAGGATTCTTTGCGGGAGGGCATGTGCTTCAAATGTAGATGTGGCCAAAGTTGGAAGGGGCCTTGTAGGCCCGCTAATCCGTCCTTGATGCAGGGAATCTAGAGCTACACCATACACAAGAGGTGGCTGTCCATGAAGACCCCCAAAGAGTGAGACCCTACCCCTCTAGAGAGTGTGGAGGGTGGCATAAACCCAATTTACTCAACAAAATATCCTTCACAAGTCTCTTCAACTCTGTCTGAAAGACATATGATGTTCTTTCTTTGCATGATTCCCTCTGGAGCATTAGTCCAAAAAGGTGTCTTCTTCATATTGCTATACTGATTTTGTTTTTCTCTCACCCTTCTACCAAAAAGTTCGGGATACCTGACCCCCTCCTATATTTTATATTCACAATACCCCTGTGAAGAAGGAGGTGCAATAGCCTAGTCCTCACAGAGATGACAAATCTGTACCTGGGTTGAACCACACAGCATGGAAGGAGAGGTCAACATGGTGGAATATTCCTCCATGAACACATGCAATTCCTCCATAAAGAAAACCAGCATTTTGGCATTATTGTTGAGGAGGAGGAGGAGTCCATCATGCAACACCTCATACACAATCTGAATTGGTACGAACCAGACACAAGCCCATCCCCTCAGCAAGAACTAGCTAAGAGTGAGTGGCAAACTTCAAGCCTAAGTAGAGATACAAACCCAGGAATCTAGCCAACTCCAGTTTCCATTGGAATAGGAATGGCTTTATAAGTAAACAAATAATTATGGGTCTTTCCACTCTACCACCCCTGCTTGCTGTCTTACACGCACCCATTTACACACACATGGGCCTTAAAAACAAAAAGTAGTGGTAGTTAATACTTCTCGTAAACTGCCTCAGAAGGGTTTGTATTCTGAAAGGCAGGGTGTAAAATAATTGTAAGAAATAAACACACACATACAGTGGTACCTCGGGTTAAGTACTTAATTTGTTCCAGAGGTCCGTTCTTAACCTGAAACTGCTCTTTAACCTAAAGCACCACTTTAGCTAAAGGGGCCTCCTGCTGCCGCCATGCCACCAGAGCACGATTTCTGTTCTCATCCTGAAGCAAAGTTCTTAACCCGAGATAATATTTCTGGGTTAGCCGAGTCTGTAACCTGAAGCGTATGTAACCTGAGGTACCACCGTACACACACACACACACACACACACACCCTTGGTTTTTCATTAGTTGCAACATATGGTATATGAATAAAGCTGCCCTAACCAAACCACTAGTCTCTTTATCCCAGACTTTTCCACTCTGACTGGCAGGTGTCAGGCAAAGAGGCCCTTCCATGCCCTTTTCCACCAGCACCATTTACTGGAGATGCCTGGGAACTTTTGAATGGAAAGCACATCTTCTGAGCTGTGAAAGAACAGACCAAAGAGAATTTATACTAATCACCAGCTGTAACCTACAAAGTTGAGAACTGGTTCATGAACCTCAGGGTTATATGCTCTGCCGTATGCCCACAAGAGTCCATTAGCCTCTATATTGCTTTAAGGATAAAAATAATAAATTATACTAAGAAAGCTTTGCAGCACAGCGGTTGTGGGGAACCAAAGGCCCTCCAGATGCTACTGAACTACAGCTCCCATAATCCCTCGCCATTGGCCATGCTTGCTAAGGCTGATGGGAAATGTAGTTCATTAATGTCTGGAGGGTACACCTGTGCCACAGCATCAATAATACTAATAATGTTATTATTTATAAAGAACTATCGCTAAATGTAACTGAAAAATTACAACTAGGCCAGTCTCATCCTACTATGCAATGCTCCTTGAACTCCGGTTTCTCCATCGAAACATCTAGGCCTCAAAAACTGGCGAATCCACCATACCGCCACTGTGAACCACTAATCCAACACCTGAACACAAGAGTATTTACTCTTAACCCCTTAGGGGAGTGAAATTAGCAGAGGCCTTTAAATAAAAAAGCACTCCTATGCCTCACAGAGAAAATCCATGTTTAGTTCCCTCAACCTTAAAGCACAACTGGAAAACACAACACTAGGTCTCAGATAAGCCACCTTTAGTTACATTGCGAAGCGACAATTAAAAACAGAAAACCCACCAGTCATTGTTTATCTACTGGTTCCCCTGCTGTGTGTTACCCCTCACCTAGAGATTGCGTGTAACCAACGTGGTGCCCCTCCGTATGCGGTGGACTACAACTCCCATCATTCCTAGCTATTGGAGCTGATGGGAGTTGTAGTCCACAACATCCAGTGGGCACCATGTTGGCTCCCCCTGTTCTAGCTGCCCAACACCAGGGTGTTCCTTTGCAGTCAAAGGTTTTCCACATATTGAGAGAATCCAGTTAGATGCCTCTCCTGTTCCATGAGGAAAAGGGAATCAAGTGTGAACGCCTTCCCAGGCAGTTCACAGCTTCTAGCCTTTCGCCACCAGAGAACTCCAGCCTCCAAAGTCACCAGTGAAGTCCTCCTTTGGTATTCAGGGCTTAGGACAGGCTTCCTCAAACTTGGCCCTCCAGATGTTTTTGGCCGACAACTCCCATGATCCCTAGCTAGCAGGACCAGTGGTCAGGGATGATGGGAATTATAGTCTCAAAACATCTGGAGGGCCGAGTTTGAGGAAGCCTGACTTAGCAGGTCTAACAGAACACAGAAAGATGCATCATACCAGCTCAGGACATTGGTCTATCTAGATGTCTGGCAGTGGCTCTCCAGACTCTGGAGAGAAGATTCTTTCCAGTCAAAAAAATGGAGCAGCAGGTGTACTTGGGACCTTCTGCATGCAAACCATTGGTGGTTGTAGATAGAAGGGTGGGAAGCGGAATCTCCTAATCCCAAGTGGAAGCCAGGAAGACTGATTTTGGGGAGGGGGGGAGAATAGATTCTCTCTTCTCTTTTGAGGTGCTGCCCAAGAAAAGCCAAGACCTAAATTCTCTATCCTTCACAGCATAGGAGCCAACTCCTGGAGAATGAGTTTCCTTTGCACTCCCCCCAATAAAATATTGGAGGGAGCAGGGCCCCCCAAAGTTGATGGACATTGTCATTCAAATGGTGGGGTGCAGCAAGCCGTGTGTTCAATTATGCAGGGTGGGGCTTACCTGGGCCCCCCATATTGTATTCAAGTTGGCACCCCTGCTTCACAGACTCCCTACCTGAATCCACAGCCAGGAAACAAGCACCTGAGAACCCCCTATTACAACCATAGTCTCAGGCTCAGCCTTTGACACCCAGGATAGTCCTCCAACAGACGATCCCTTACCAGATCCCGAGCTTTCCTCTCCTCACCCCCCTTTTTTCTTTCCTCTTACCTGCCCGACTCTTGCTCCCGACACCCAGGGTAGGACACATCGGGGAGGCTCCCTGCCGTGCCGGAGGTGGCTCGGGGGGCTGCGGCTTGCAGCAGCTCCCTCTCCCCGGCCCGACGTGCACTAGCGGGGGTTGTTGGGTTGCACGATGCTCCGCTGCAGCTTTTGGTGCGGAAAAGGCGGCTCAGGCGAATCTTCAAGGAGCCTTTCCTCGAGGGGGCGGAGGAGGAGCTCGGGCGGTTGGCTCCGACGGCGGGCACCGGGCCTGCCGGAGGTGGTGGAGGAGGAGAACCCGGGGTAGTGGTGGTTGCAGCAGCGGGTGCTTGGAAGCGGCTACCCGCCGCGACGACCGGGCTGGAGGAATCTGCCTGCCCGACAGCCGCTTCCACCTCCTCTTCGTCTTCCTCGTCGGGGCCGAGAGCTTCTAACACGAGCAGGGCGTCGCTGGTCTCTTCCCCCGGGGGCAACAAGGGCATCGTGGGCGGAGGAGCTAGAGGCGGCGGAGGCAAGAGGCTCAGGCACGGGCAATCTCCGGGAGGCTTGCCCGGCCCTCCCGGGGCCGTCGGGGGAGCCTGGTGTAGCCCCAAGGCGGCCAGCTGCAACTCCAGGCCGGCCCCCGGGGGGAACAGGAGGCCGCCAGCCGCTCCGCTCCAGCATCGTCCCCCTCCAGGCTCGCCTTTCGGCGCGTCCAGGAGAGCGCACCGGTGCCTGGCGCACAGCAGCTCCGAGGGCGGCCGAGGCGTCGAAGGCGTGGGCAGGCAGGCGGACGGGGAAACCCCCGACGGCTCTCCCGCTTCGCCGGGGCGGAAGACCAGGAGCTGCGAGCCTCGGAGCCCGCCCGCCCTTCCACGATCCCCGGCGACGGCAGCGGAGCTTTCCCCGACGGCTCCGCCGAGCGCCAAGCCGGCTGCGGCTGACTCGGCCCCGCCGTAGCCCAGCAAGCGGCTCAGCACCCGGTACGAGGCCGCCGCCGCTGCAACCGCTTCGCCGCCTCCGGGCTCCGCCGCCGCCGCCGCCGCCGCCGCTCCTCCTCCGGCCCGCTGCATCGCGCTAAGGGAGGCGGTGCATTGCATGGAGCAAAAGGCGAGCGGGCCTCGCCAAGCAAGCTGGACGGGGAGGCCGGCCCCGGATCCAGATCGGCTGTCCAAAAAAGCTCAAGGCTTTCGCTTGCTTGCTTGCTTGCCTGGTCGCTTAGGGGCCCGCCCGAGCAGTGGGTGTGCACGCCCTCCGACTTCCCTTTCCGCTGATGCGCCCGATGATGCGCTCTCCAATGTGACCAGCCCGTCCGCAGCTGCGGCTCCTCTCTACGCTGCGCGCGCGCAGACGCTCCTCCCTCCGCCTCCTGCGCACTTTCTCCCAGTCCCAGCTGTTCCTTCCAAGCTCGAATGCAAACAGAGGCTCCCAAGCCGCGCTCTCCGACCGATGTTGCCAGACTCTTGGTTAGACCCAGCCCATTCAAGGAAAGTCTCGCCCTCCTTCCTAACACTACCCCCCCCAAAAAAGTAGGGTTGCCATACTTCGAAAAGGACCTCCGCGAAAGTTCTTGAGCCGAAAAACCGCGATTTTTCGATGGACTTTACTTTTTAAAAATATACCTATATTCTGAGTAATATACACATTCTTCCAAGGCACATTATCTGTAATAGTTATGTTTTCCCTACTATAGGACTGCCATATTTCAACCTGATTAAAGGTAAAGGTAAAGGGACCCCTGACCATTAGGTCCAGTCGTGGACGACTCTGGGGTTGCGGCGCTCATCTCGCTTTATTGGCCGAGGGAGCCGGCGTGCAGCTTCCGGGTCATGTGGCCAGCATGACTAAGCCGCTTCTGGAAAACCAGAGCAGCGCACAGAAACGCCGTTTACCTTCCCGCCGGAGCGGTACCTATTTATCTACTTGCACTTTGACTTGCTTTCAGACTGCTAGGTTGGCAGGATTCAACCCGATTAGGAAGACTCAAAAGTTGCCTAACACCCAGGACAAAGCTCCACATTTCGGAAATTGCAGACACCCACACCCGGGAAAATCCAGACATATGGCAGCCCTAGCCAGGGATTGATGCATTGTTGATTCGCAGGTACCTAACAGGCAGAAATCACATGGATGCAGCTTTTCCGCAGCACAGTGGGCCCAGGCCAGCAACAAGACTTGGAAGGTGAGAGTAGGCAAAATGGCACCTGTTTTCGGTAGCCACAAGAAAAGATATGAAATAGGCAAAATTGCATATATTTTATCCACACCAATGTCTCAGCGTGAGAGCAGCAGGGGTTAAAGACTCTGAGAGTCCTGCCTTGTGACTGGGAATTCCTCAAATCCTCACTGTGCTAAAGTGATGACTGCTACATAACAAGGAAAGGCATTCTGCACATGCTCAGGGGCACCCCCATTACAATTTCACATTTCAAGGCAAAAGCCTGGTATTCATTGTAGGCTCTAGTTAAACCACAGTGTGCAATTTGGACAAGATTAAGCCTTACTTTTATGTAAGAGTCAGTATGGGTTAATGGTTGAGAGCATGGGAAGGCAAACTAAGGCCCGGGGGCTCGATCCGGCCCAATCGCCTTCTAAATCCGGCCCGTGGACAGTCCGGGAATCAGCGTGTTTTTACATGAGTAGAATGTGTGCTTTTATTTAAAATTCATCTCTGGGTTATTTGTGGGGCATAGGAATTCGTTCATTCCCCCCCCAAAATATATATATATATATTCTGGCCCCCCACAAGGTCTGAGGGACAGTGGACCGGCCCCCTACTGAAAAAAATTGCTGACCCCTGGTTAAGAGTGTCAGACTAGGACCTGGGAGGCCAGGGTTCAAATCCACACTCAGCCATGAGCTCACTGGGTGACCTTGGGCCATTCGCTGCCTCTCAGCCAGTGGCGTAGCGTGGGGGGTGCAGGGGGGGCCGGCCGCACCGGGCGCAACATCTGGGGGGCGCGCGCTCGCACTCGCAGCTCTCTGCCCCTACCTGGCTCACTCTCTCTCACTGCAGTGCTGGCTGTGCGAATCCGATCCGAGCCGCTGGGTCGCCGCCCACTGTGGAGGGGGTGGGTGCCAGGCGTGCGGTGCGGAGAGAGAGCGAGGGACTATCTGGGGGAGGGACAGTGCAGCGGCCGCCCAGCGCAGCGCTGAGCGCGGGAGAGAACCACACCAGACCAGACCAGGCAGCAGCAAGAAGAAGAAGCTGGCAGCGGCGGCAGGTTAGGGGTTAGGGGGCGCAAATTACTTGCCTTGCCCCGGGTTAGGGGGCGCAAATTACTTGCCTTGCCCCGGGTGCTGACAACCCACGCTACGCCGCTGCTCTCAGCCTAACCTACCTCACAGTGTTGTTGGGAAGAAATGAGGATGGGAAAACTATGTATGCCACCCTGAGCTCCTTGGAGAAAAAGGAGAGATATAAATGCAAGAAATGAAATAGATATTTGACTACCTATGGGGATTGATAGTGGAGTATGCAAGCTCCTGTTTCACAAAATGGTTCTAAAGCTATTCCCATGCTAACTGAAGCCGGCTCTATCAAAATATAATTCCACTGCTTATCATTCCCAAGTCAAGAGGGAGGGCTTGACTTGAACCAGCATTCAGTCCTAGGGATGGAGATGTGTTTTAGGGTATATTTTCAGATATACAGTACTGAAGGAGGTGAGGACAGGTGACCCCACCTAGGCCCGAAGTCACCCCCCCAACCAGGCCTCAAAACTGTCCAAAATTCCTTTTATCTCTTCTAAAAATCCACAGCTAAAGTTTTCCTCTGCTTTTCTCACAAGATGCTGTTGCATAGGCAAACCGTTACTTTTATCAGTACGAGAGAGCTTCAAAAAGGCTAATGAATAGACTCTGTCAATGCCAAGAATATTCAGGCCTGGGAACTGACTCTTACCTCACTCTAGTTGTAACATATCTTGAACACGCTGAACCGCAAGGCCCCTCGACCCCCCTTGGCTTCTCATCCCCTTTTCCTGGGAAGGGTGCCAAGAGTCCAAAAGAGTCCCAAGACAGGAGCTTTCTGTTCATGCTCAGGAAACTCATCATGGGGCAGGAGTCTTGAGGAGGAGGAGAAAGGGGAGGGAACTGGAAGGGGAATATATGCTCTGTGCAAATGGCTGTGAACTTGTACTTGCTTTGTGAATTTATCACGCAGGTGCCTTCTGCCACCCCGGATGGCAGAATAAAGCTTTTTCTCTGATTTATCCCTTTGGTGTCGTTTGACTCCTTCTTCCCTCTCCCGGGTGCAACCTTTTTCCTACCCGTGAAAAAGGCCTAGAAAGGCTACAGTACGAGTATAGTTAGTAGGCTACCTGGTGGCAAAAGGGCTGTGCACATGTTCAGAAATGCCCTTTACCCTCGTTCCATAATTTGGGCGACCATGTGCTCCATTAATCCCTAGCTTGGCTTGCCACTCTTTTCTCCTGTGCTTTCTTAAAAGTGCACAAGATCCTCAAATTCAAAGGTGCAACTTCAGTGTTTCACCTCTATGCTCATGAATCTTGGACCTGTTTAATTTATCTCTCTAAAACAGCTGTAATGCATACAACCGCACTGAAATATACTCAGAGTCGAGAGTGGATTTCATGCGCTTCATAGTGGTGAAGAGAAATGAATGTTTCCCCAAAGTATCTGCTTTATATACATTATTTTCACAATGGGCTGCACGTGATTGGCTAATTCCGGAATTCTCCTGTAGGCCAATCAGGTTGTGGATTCACTTCCATCTGGAGCTGGATTGGGTGGCTCCTGCAGACCAATCATACTGCTGCATTGTTCTAGGACCAATCAAACTGCTGCATTCTGAATCCTATTGTTATAGGATCAATCAGACTGCTGCATTTTGGATCCTATTCAACTCAGTACATAACATGCACTATGAGAAAACTTTGAGAAAAGGCCTGTGAGAGGTGACAGGATGGAAGTTTATAAACTTACACATAGTATGCAGAAAGTAGATAGAGAAAAGTTCCCCCCCCATACACATCTGATTGGCCAGAATGCAGGAGAAGGGTGGAGACGCTCATTCTCACACCCAAGGCCATATTCTTGAGATGGAGAGGGGCATCGTAGTACAGTAGTCTTCACAATATGTACCACCACCCCTGAAACAGAATCTCACCTGTCTAGTTTCTCCTTCAGATCCATAGATTCTTCATCCTAGTCTTCAAAGGGAGGGAAGACAGACTTTGTTCTGTACACCGTCTCTCCCAGCAAAAAGCTAAAACTTCTATCAAGGCTTCTTCAGTCCAGTAGAGAGCCCTCTGAAAAAACTAGCTGTCAGATTATGTCCATCCACATGGTAGAGTCTTTTCTTAGTTCCAGCATCTTTAAAAGTCATCCCAGGCTCATATTTTGACAGCTCTGCTTCTCCCAAGATCCTACATTTTAAGGCTGCACCAACAGCACACCGCTTCTAGGAGTGATACGCAACATTAGGTCAAAACCACTCTTCCCAACTACATTCTTCATTCTAGAACTCCATCTCTTGTGATGTAGCAAAACTCCCATTCGGCTTCAATCAAACAACCCCTTCTTATTAGGAATATGTGGAAATCAGTGCCTTTAACTCGGGGTCAATATGCACGTTGCATTAAATGCGTTAATATTTTAAAACTGAACGCCCCTCTACACTAATGTTTTTTCTTTTCTTTTCTTCTTCTGGATGTATTCTGCAACATGTCATTTATGCAATCAGAGAGCATCAGTGGTGAATTTATACAGAACTATCCATACCTCAATTCGCTTTATTAGTTGTCCTGCAATGCTTCTCCAATGATGTTGTCACATTACTGCTATCTGGAAGGGGCACTCTTGCACCATAGTGCAATGATAGCAGGACAAAAAATAAATAAACGGGAACCTATGTGATATAAAAGGTTACAGGTTTTCGACAGGAAGTTCTAGCACATGCACAGATCAGCAACAAAGCAGTATCCCCCACCATTAAAACTTTGCATGTGCCGAGAATCTATGACCTTTCAAACTGGGGTGGGGCAGTATTGGTTTTGTGTTTTACAATCGTACCTTGGAAGTCGAACAGGAGCCGTTCCGGAAGTCCGTTCGACTTCCAAAGCACAGTTTCTGATTG